ATAATCTGAATTTTGCATATGGACGGATGATGCACGACAATGGCAACAGACTTCCTTTCAGGTGACCTCAATTTTTTTTAAGAAGTTTGAAACTAAGGTTATATTAATAGATAGATAGATAAATCAATCAATATGAAAGAATGTATTTTGAGACTAAATTTATTCAAAATATAAAAACAAATACGAAATAATCCTTTTTGGTGTAAAAATATGCAGATACTGATGATTCTGTATTGTATTTTGTCCTTATTTTGTCATCATTTGTCCACATTTGTTCACTAGTTGTCCACTATCTGTCGACTATTTGTCCATATTTGTCCAGTATTTGTCCATATTTGTCCAACTTTTCCCCATATTTGTCCACTATTTGTCCACATTTGTCCACTATTTGTCCACTTTTTGTCAACTATTTGTCGACCTTTGTCCACTATTTGTCCACTATTTGTCCATGTTGTCCCTTATTTGTTCACATTCATCATCAAGTCTCCAGTTTGACAGTATCTTGCAAATCGAGCTAAGGCATTCAACATGCAAATCTTATTGACTGCAGATTTAATGCATTTATAGTGTTTATTGCTTCCTTCATGTTTTGTGACTAAAATGAACCAATCGTAAGCCTTGTTATAAAGAATAACCAATCATAACACTTGTTACAAAAATAGCCAATCAAAAGCCTCGTTACAAAACGAACATTCCAGTGATAGTATGAATGATTATATCATGGAAAACAAACAAATGACGCCAACGCGCATCGAACACTCGACCACACACCCCGTACGCTAAATTTCTAACCTCTGCGACATGTTGGCCTGAGTTAAGAGCGGACTTCGATCGATGATAGTAACGTCAGTTCGACAACAGTGACGTCATCTAAAGCTTCCCGAACGACTCTGACAAGCTCAGACATTGACGACACATTCTTCATCACCGAATCACAAGACAAAATTATACAGTCTATCCAACTTCCTCCACAAACACCAATACAACAGCACGCAGACACGAACAGGAAGGATCGACAAAACATATAAAAAAGCAAGGAGCGCATTAGGAAACAACATTGCCAAAGAATGTATAAACAACGAAATGCAAACCGTAGGTATCATTACACACTACCCTGTAAATATAGTGTCCAAATAGAATCACTTACCTTACTCTTTTATTATACCGTTAGCTAATGTATTATTGTGAATTGTTTACGTGTTAACTATTATTTTTAATTCAAACAAGGAGGCAAAATCACATGCTGCAACAACTTCCAGAGCACCGGCACACTCAATTTAATAGCACACTCGAAAACATTATATATGCCTTGAATTTTATATAGTAAATAACGTATGTTGTAACTATTTATTGTTTTTAAATATGTTTTATGCATAAGATTATTAAGGAAATGAAAATACATGATTAAAAAACAGCAGAAAAAGAGGAGAAAAGATAAGAAAAGAGAAAAAAACAACAACGAAAAAGCGGCGAGAAATCATGGGGGAATACCTGAAATCAGAAGCAAAGCTGAAACAGGGGAGTTAACTCCGTCATTAACACAAAATTGATGACGTACGTCACATGCAATACACGCACCCTCTTGAAAACAAGGGGGAGATAAGTCCGGCGGTAACGCCAAATTGATGACGTCACACGCAATACACACAGTACGATGATGCGGGTAGAGGGGGGAGGGGTGTCTGTTTACGGGGTTGTTAAGGCGCCATCTCGGATTTCCTTAGCAACCCCGCCCACATTCTCCCCTTATCATCAGTTCATATATATACGTCCCGTTGTACTTAGCTATTTATTTAAATATACATCAATGTTCATATATATATAAACGTCCCGTTATACCGGAGACGTATACTTTGAAAACTATTTATTGCAATATACACCAATGTTCATATTATAAGTGTAAAAGATGTGGTTCATCAGGTTGCCTTACAAGCGTCAGCTGTAGGGAATTTCCCTGTAGCTCGGGCTGGAGGCCCCATGGTCGCGGGTTCGAGCCGCAGCGACGGCACTTTCTTTATCGCCATTCCTCGTCCTACTACATACATACTAAATGTAAATTTATCATTCAATAATTTAAAGAAATTGACGATAATGTTTATTTCAAGGGGGTAAAACTTGTACGCCGCAGTCAACCGTGAAAATCACGGTTTTTCATATATAATTAGATATCGAGAGAAAATTAACATGATATTTCAGATATATAGAACAAAATACCTTACTGTTTATAATTATGTAAGTTTCGTTGCAATAAACGACATATTTCACATGAAATTCTGACTTTGTTGTGATCGCGGGCGAGGATTGTGGGTGTTTTGTTTACTCCCGTACCCGTGCTTATGAGGGGACATCACTCTGTCAATCTATGTCGTTATCAATGAGAACTCTTCGCCGTTACCAGGCTCTGCGACGAGGACGCAGTTCTACATAAGAGCCCATTTTTTTTTTAAACTATATATATATATATAAGATTAATAATAGTTCACAAAATAAGAATTCATGATTGGTTATCATTAGATAAAAAATGGTTATTTTTATAATAACTTTAAAAAATGGTTTTATGATTAAAATAATTGTGTTCTTTTTCAAAAGGAATTTTAGGTTTACTCACAACACATTTTAACTTTTAATAGGATACATCTACAAATACATTAAAAAAAAAAAAAAAAAAAAACTTCGGTCTTTTATAGCTGTTTTATGAACACTTACCACACTTCCAAATAAAACTATCCCTAGAAAAATGTAAATCTGACAGATCACTTATACATCTATTATGAAACCATCTGTCACAGCCAGCATCACAGGAAACTATATCATCAAATACATTTGAGATGTGACACCCATCTGCTTCGCAATCTATAAAAATATCGAATGATAAAGAAGTCTTCTTTTGCCTATGCCTACTTATTTTATTCCTAGGAAATTTAGTAAAGGTTCCACTGGAAATACATTCCACAAGATGTTGTCTCATGCGAGTGGTATCAAACTCTAACTCTTCATTCCCGTTAAACCCATTGAAACACAATTCTACCAAGTTAGCAATAACAAAAACCCCACAGTCAACCCCGTTTTTCTGTTGTTGCACATTTGGTAATACTGGTTTTTTTTAACTTTTCTATTTTCCCCATATGATGATGACAACTGCATTTCTAAAGAAGCTGACAAATGACCCTTCTGTTTCGTATTTCCTATCAAACTATCAAGAATGTATACTTCCCCACTATCTACCTCCTGTACTGACACTACCCAATGGTCCTCACCTGTCTGATGATTTTGTGCTGATGCAGCGCTAGTTGGTTTCATTCTGAGTGCATAGTCCCACTTATTGTTTTTCAAAATTGGAGCATAACCTGTATCTTGCATTCCGCCTATATTAGGAAACTGTTTCTTTAAATTATTTTGTACGTAACACATGATATTACCACATAGTTTGTTATCAATTAATAAATCATTTTTATCCTTAAAACTTAGCGTACTTTTACCGTTATCCATCCAGATACGTCTTGTTTCTGCGGGCTTAATAAGCGACGGTCTGTCATCCGAAAGATCCAATAAAATATCACTTACATTAGGTTTGTTCTTTTTTGGTAATGAAAGTCTTCTTTTTTTGTTTTGCCTTAGGACTGGTACTTACAACTGGTTCAGATAAACTTACACCATCACTACATTGTATGTCTGCTACTGAATCAGCTATAATACTTACATCTTTTGTATCTTCTTTTCCTTCTATTATGTTTGACAATCTCTTACGGGTTAATGAAAGTCTAGACCTAGGTTTTGGTTTTATTGAAGTACCAATATCAGAAATATCGTGGAGAGGAACTGACTCTAATTTCACTGGAGAAGCCAATGTACTTGGAGTTGAACAAGTTATATTTGATTCACCTAACTTAGTTAACTTACGGTCTGGTGCTGAGACTATATCTGCTCTATCCTTCCATTCCTGGCAAAGGCTGTATGGGGAATGTAGCTGAGGTTCGGTATCATCTCGGCGATAGTCCGGATTGCATAGTTGATATGTTGGGCCTTGGTGTTCACATCGTTGATGAATCTAGGTTTTGGTGTTGCAGTGTCGAATCTGGAGTCTACCCTGGGCAGTAGACCAGATATATGGCTATCTGTATCCGAGCGGAAATGGTCCATATCCGCTCACAGAGCTGCTGGAATCGTTCGAGGACGATGGGTACTGAATCACGAGCTAGGTTGATGGAGATGTCAAAATTATCATCACTTGAACGCAAGTACTTATGGAAGTACTTGGCCTGTGAGTGACCGACTATAAGTGTAGACATGGTAGGAAACTGAATATCATGCAAGCAATATGCAAATAATATGATGAGAGAAGGAACATATCCCCTATACACATCTCATGGAAATTCGAAGAATTTCATTGGTCAATCTCACCATCCACCATGTTTGAAATTATTGTATAATTTTATAAAAAAAAATATAAACGATCGCGTTAATGAGATATTAAAATATCTCCATCAACCTGGTACGGGGTTTTGGGACGGGAGCGGGGTACAAGATTTACCTACAACCCGCAATCCTAGAAAGGAGCATTTACACTCCTAAAAGTAACTGTTTCGCCGACTTTCAGTTAATCAAAAATTGACAGTTTCATCACAGGTTTTCATGTGATTGTCCCGCCTAGTCAAATGAACTGCAAATATCTAAAAAGTTGCAAGTATTTGTTCAAGACCAAAAGTATGAGATGCCCGGTGGCGGACTTATAAATGTCGGGGCCGAACTTGCCCAGACGCCCCTGTAAGTCTCTACTTATTCCAATGCAGCATACGTATCTGCTGCTTTGTTAAATACGTACATGTAACACTTGTTGTATATTTATCGTGGCATAATAACAATTTCGTTTTGTAAATTTATGCCAACATAACGACTCTCGTTTCGAGGTGAACACGGCTAAGGGGAAGTAACTCTGTTTTTTTAACGCCTACGACAGATCAGCTGATTGTGATATAAAAATCATGTGACTTTTCAAACCACTTCAAAGATGGCGACCACCAGAGAGTTTGGACATGTTGTCTCTGTTTTGGCGTGCATATCCTTTGCTATTTTGAGTAATGGCTACACACCAAAACGACAGGTAAATTTAAACGAATAACTATTTATGATTTGTAGCTGCACTGTTTGATATACAATTACTTTTATAAGATGTATTAAATTAGCAAAAGTATAGACAGTAAGCTTGTATTTATGGCTGATCACAACGGCGCATAGGGTAATAATCTTGCATTTGGGTAATAGTTACCCATTTGAGTAACAATTTTATTACTCAGACCCTCGGTTGTGAGACATTTTTATCACTGAGATATCCTCAAAAATGAAGGAAAATCCCTAATAAGAGGGTGATCCACAACCCCTTCAAAAATTAGTAGTTAACATAATTATTTAGTTCTATGTTATAGAACACCAGTTGATTAAGAATTCAACATTACAGAGGCAGATCCTTTTCAGTAATAAATACTCTGTAGGATAATTTTTATCATGTACTGTACAACAAATGAATATACATAACAGCTATTTCATGTATTCCTGTTGAATATATATTACAATTTTGACTTGTATTTCACGAGTATTGTAAAATAACAATATTTTTCACAAGTGCAAAGCATGATTGAAAACATCAGTATTTTATGCCTTATGAGTGAAAATTTTATGGTATTTTATGGAAAAACTATTTGCCACATGATGTAACATTTTCTAAAGACAAAAAATCTTGCTTCATAAAAAGTGCAGCAAGGAGTACTAAGCGTAATAGTTGATGTTAGGTTCTAACGACGTCATGTTTGACAACAGTGAGGAAGGCTGTGTGCCATTTAGGATAGAATAGTGACCATATACTCAATGCAATTCTACCATTTTCTGGTATTTTCTGGAACGATCTAATTACAAAAATGTTTAAACATCAATTATGTAGACACTATAACAAACTAGTAAGTTTACATTGTACAAAAGGTGTACAAAAACAACCAATTTTTCTCTGGTCGTTTCATCTGCAGTTTAACAAACAATCTGCACCAGTAAATAAAAATTACCATTTTGATTACGGTAGTTAATTTAAAATCAATACTAATATCACACTGAACATGCATATATGTGTGTCGTGCTGTACTTGTCATGGTGCGTCAAAATTTATTTTTTATTCATGTGGAAGTTGTATGCTTATCATCTTGTTCATAATTGCTTTTATACAGCTAAACACCTACCTAAACCCAGATTGCAGTGAGGACTGTGGAGGCGGCCTTGCCTATGTGAAGGCGAGGGGAGATGCAGACACTCTTCACTTCGTGTTCACAACTGTAGGGACTCCCACTGCACTGGTGATTCGCACCAACACCCTAACAGACAGAGAACATGACAAATTGAAGTTCAATTGGGACAAACTGAGGTCAAACGACACTACAGGAGCAATATCTACCCCCAATCCTCTAACGAAAGTGCTGTATTCTTATGGCATCATGTTCACAAGGGTATGTTCACGTACAATGTTTACAAGGAAAGATTACATGTAAATCAATATATATTCTCTATCTACAATGATCTCCAATATTATTTGTGAAACATTATCTAAGACTCTTTGTGTGTGTAATTTAGCCGAAGATTATATATATATATGAATTTTGCTTGGCTATATGATATTCATGTAATGCAAGCTAATTGATGTTCAAATTGTATAAAAATACCAGGTTTCTAGAATTTATTTTTACAATTTAAGATAAAATCATACGTAGTTAGGTAAGCATGAGAACCAGCTATCAAATGTTTAGATGACTTTTTCCTCCCATAACGTTTATATAAAATCTGGCAAACCATATGCTTGTTTTTCTTTGCAATGCATGGTTCATCTTCACAATGAAAGCACAATTACAAGATTAATGAAAAGATTAGCCAATGAACTCACATTCTGCAGGTTTGTACAAGGAAAACTTACTGTTTGTTTTTAATGTTTTTTTACCAGTTATTTCAGTACAATGACACATCCGATGCTGCAGACCTTTCCCACTACACACAGCCAAGTTCTCAGCTGACAGTCTTTGATTTCCTGTCTGATGTTACAATGTGGGAGAATTTGCTGGACACCTCGTCAGATGAACTTATTGCATTAAAGATCCAACAAACAGATTCCAACCTACCAACTGTCATTGTAAATGGTTCCCTTACAATACAGGTGTGTGTATGTTAACCTGTTCAGTAATCCTCTATACTGTACCCTCCAGAACTACCCCTACTATCTGTATAGCGTGTATTATAAGACTCTCAGGATTTCAAATTTGGAAAAACCCTCGGCAAAGCCTTGGGTTTTACCAAATTTGAAAACACCTCGGGTGGAATTTCCCTATCCTACACCCCTTGGCATGAAAGAATATTTTTCTCTCATTCCAACCACCATAATATGCCCAGAAACCATTAAAATGCGTTTGGACTGGGCACCATTTTGAAAATATCAATTTTTCCCATGAGCTTTTGAGACGAAAATGAATCGTCCAGCCAGATTAAGCATATCCCATATTTGCAAACAATGTTTGCACAGAAAAAATAATCACATCTTTCTAACATGTACAGTTAATATTTAGTAAAAGGTTTTAATTTCTGCATTGGGGCATCGGAGAGTTCCAAATTTGTGACGTTACGTCATTGTTGAGCCAATGTGACGTCACGTCACGTGCAATGGGGTGTAGGATAGAAATGTCCTACACCCCTTTCTTACCCTGGACAGCTCTATCTTACACGCAGGGTAATGAGAGAAATGTATATATTATGTTGTTCAGATTGGTAAGTTATATATGATCAGGCCCGACTGATTAATCCAACTACAGAATTCATGATCAAGTTTACTTTTAATAAATTTGTGTAGATACATGTATAATGGGGATTTAATTTAAAAGTTATTGATGATTTAAAGTGCATATTCTTGCTAGAAACTGACAAGAGTTAAGCAGCAGAATTGACCTAATATTTCTTTTCAGCTTTTATGTTGGCATCATCACTGACTTACTTAAAATTATTTTCATGGCCGCCCATGGCCACTTAGGACTATAAATTACTGATTCATTGTTCAAAGGGAGGTAATGCCTACACGGTACCTTTTTATTTGTTTAAGTCACTTGCAGTTTTCAAAAATGTTAATAGATCTTATAGGTAACCAGTGATTGCATGATTACAACATTTCAACAGATTCCCAACATTAATGTGTACTACTAATAACTATACCCTCTACTATCATTACAGGGTACAGGTATACAGCTCTTTATATATACACCGACAACTACTAGGTATACAGCTCTATATATATACAGCGACAACTACTAGGTATACAGCTCTATATATATATACACACACAAGTACTAGATATACAGCTCTATATATATACACCGCCAACTACTAGGTATACAGCTCTATATATATATACACCGACAATTACTAGGTATACAGCTCTATATATACACCAACAACTACTATGTATACAGCTCTATATATATACACCGACAACTACTAGGTATACAGCTCTCTATATATAAACCGACAACTACTAAGTATACAGCTCTATATATATACACCGACAACTACTAGGTATACAGCTCAATATATATACACCGACAACTACTAGGTATATAGCTCTATATACACCGACAACTACTAGGTATACAGCTCTATATACACCAACAACTACTAGGTATACAGCTCTCTATATATACACTGAAAACTACTAGGAATACAGCTCTCTATATATACACCGACAACTACTAGATATACAGCTCTATATATATACACCGACAACTACAAGGTATACAGCTCTATATATATACACCGACAACCACTAGGTATACAGCTCTATATATACACCGACAACTACTAGGTATACAGCTCTATATACACTGACAACTACTAGGTAAACAGCTCTATATATATACACCGACAACTACTAGGTATACAGCTCTCTATATATATACCGACAACTACTAGGTATTCAGCTCTATATACACCGACAACTACTAGAATACACCCTACTATTAATATGAAAAGGAAAAGCCTTAAAAGAGCGAAGCTTTTGTTGATCTCTGATATCTACTGATTCAGAATGAGATAATTACTTTGCTTTCAGAATGAGTCAAGATAAAAATTATTCAAAGTCGGCTTGTCGATGGATAAAAATAAAACAAACTCTAATGATATTTGTTCTATGATGGGTCGGGTGGCGCAGTGGATAGCGCGCTCGTCTTCACCAAGATTGCCGGATTCAATCCCGGTTACTTGCTCAACCACAGGGTTTTTCTCCGCATATTAAATCCTCTGCGTGCGTCTGTCAGGTCACAAAATGAATGATTGAAACAATGTTGGAAAAAATTGTTTGATTATTGCTATAGAAAAAAGTGCATATTTCATATTTGTCGATAAGTCTATAAAAGTAACTGTATAGAGATGTTAGTTAAAAAATGAAATAAAAAAAAGAAAACATTGTAATACTTTGATGTAACTGAGATTGTCGTTATATCGATATTTAGAATTCCTGTTCCATTCTGAAACACCGGATTGAATTTGTAATTTTGTAAATATCACTGAGGTTCGACAGGTAATGTGCCAAATAAAATCAAACAGTTTCTGTCTGTAACTAGTTATAAATCGGCATGCGTTGTCTGGACAATTATTGTTGATATCAACATAAATGAATTATCCATTGTTTCTTTCATGAGTGGTGATGCATACATAAAGAGAGGATTTCAACCAAATTTAGTCTGAAGCATCAGTAGGGATGGACAATCATTTCTTAAATAAATGAGGTTGGTTCAACCTATGAGGCCAGGGGGGCGGGGCCCTGAAGGGGAACTTAGCTAACTTTGCTGTAAAATGCATCTCCTTCTAAATGCCAAAGAATATTTCAACCAAATTTGCTCTGAAACTTCATTGGGGGAGGGCAATCATTTCCTAAATAAATGAGACTGGTTCGACCCCTGGGGCTATGAAGACCAGGCCCCAAATAAGATTTTTTTTATATTGCATTAAGATGCTAATATGCCCTAATTGCCTGAGTGGACTGTACAAAATTTGGTCAAAAACATTATTGAGGAGGAACAAACATTTCTTAATTGAATGAGGTTGATTTGACCCCTGCGGTCCTAAGAAATGGTACAGCTAGATTATCATATTCTATGGTGTAGTTTTCATAAATTGTTAAAAAATGGTTTCTAGGTTAATTTATAAAAGCTTATAGTTGAATGAAAATTAAACTATTGTCTAATTACCCCCTGTAATATGACATATTACTTATTTCAAAATCTGTTAACATGGCAACTCAATGGAGGCCTCTGATTAGTTGAAAGTCAGATATTGTGGTCCCAGTTGGGTTAGAAAATCGATCTTGTCTGGTTTTGAGGAATTTTCATATAAAGATGTACTAATGCATTCAGTTGTAACGACTTATATATAAAATCAGGTGAGCGATACAGGTCCAATGGACCTCTTGTTACTTTTTTGCCTTGCTACAGGGTCAAGACTTATAGTTGTCGATGCAGAACTTGACAAAATCACTGACATTATTCATGTTTCTTTGCCTCGCTACAGGGTCAAGACTTATAGTTGTAGATGCAGAACTTTACAAAATCACTGACATTATCAATGTTTCTGTGCCTCGCTACAGGGTCAAGACTTATAGTTGTAGATGCAGAACTTTACAAAATCACTGACATTATCAATGTTTCTGTGCCTCGCTACAGGGTCAAGACTTATAGTTGTAGATGAAGAACTTGACGAAATCACTGACATTATTAATGTTTCTTTGCCTCGCTACAGGTCAAGACTTATAGTTGTAGATGCAGAACTTGACGACATCACTGACATTATTAATGTTTCTTTGCCTCACTACAGGGCCCTGACCTTAATGTAGAAGTAGACCTACAAGACATCGCTGAAGAAGACCATTACTAGATATGTATTGCCTCTTTATACCTACAGACACTTGTTGTTTTTGATGTAATTTTGTGAAAGTAAGCATGACAATCCTGTGTTACAGTTTCACCTGTTTGACCATGGTGACAGGGCAGATTACCTACCTCACCTGGAATACAATGAGGACACAACACATTTTGACTTCATCCTCCAGGACATTGACAATGGAAATATGTCCAGTGCCCGCTATGGAGTGGAGACTATCTTCTTTAGTGAGGACTCGGACAAAGGAGATATGTCCATAGAGCTTACAAAGTCCATTGATGATGAATACTCACCTGGTGTGTTTTCTGTAAGTACCATCTTGTAAAAGTATACTGATATAAACAAGACATTTCAACTCGGTTCAGATTTCATAATGATCCTTTGCCAGCATTTTAACTGAACGTATAGTATTGTGTATGAAAATTTATCAAAAACCTTTTTGTTTTTGCATTAGGAATGTTAGAGTACATGGGACAAGTATAGTTTTAATTCTAATATTTCAATCTGTAATGTTTTAGTTGAATACATTATTATTTAATGATTAAATTGTAACCAATATATAATGTAGGTTGTATAGTTGTTTAACAAGTTTTAAAGTTCATATATTATACAAAAACTGTGTTTATAGAATGTTTTAAAGATAAACTTTTCTTATGATGTTAAATGTGTATTCACTCAGGTTTATGATTTTAGGTACTTCCTGCTATGAAAATTGTATTTTTTCTTATCTGACTCTAATATAAGGATTTTTTTTGTTTCAGATAAACAATTTAGTAAGTCGCCCTGCTGAAAAAGCAGAAGGTGGCTTCCTACAGTGGAAGCCAATCTGTTATATGAAAGCCGCCAGGGCACGCTCAGTAGGCACTGCCGTGAAGAAGTACGGCCCACAAACTCTCACAGCAGTAGACAAAACTTCAAACGATTTCGTCAAGAACAGTATAGCTTACGCTTTCTATGGAGCTGATAAAACCGTTGATGTTAAAATGTCTTATTCCAATTTCTCATTTGGGCTGTCTAAGGATGGATTTTTCACCAAGAACAATTACACAGCATGGTAAGTACTGAACTATGTCCTACCAGTGACTTGTAAGTACGTATAGTGGGTCTTCTCATTCACTAGTAAATACCTTAATGAGTCATCTGTTTGCCTAGCGCTGTGCTTGGCAATATCGACGTTTGGCTTTAATGTTGAACGTTTGCCCAGGTAAGGAAGGCAATGTTCTGTCCCCTGGCCTTGACATACCAAAGTTCTTAAAAATGGTAGTTGTTATTCCCTGCTTAATATTCAGCATTTAGAGGGAATGGCAACAACTGGTTCACCTGTTGTCAGTATAATGCGATCAGGCGGAATGCTGTGCTGGGTGTGTTTAGCATGGTATTTCAGTGAGATAGCACTATAAAGTCGACATCAGATCCGCGCTATCACAAGGAGGCAATTACACCAACATACCCTGCCTCCTGCACACACACACACGCATATATATATATGCAACACACATTGGGACACATCCTTTAAATAATTTAGCTGTTGATAGGACATTAAACAAAGTTAAACCAAACTGTTTGTCTTGGAAATACAGCAGGGTCATCCTAGTGTCTATTAAAGTTTGGTAAATAGCGGTCAGTGTTGATAAAATTTGTGTCTCTTTACAATTTTAAAATTAACTTGGGTTAGATAAACATGATAACCAACCACCACTCATTAAGGATTAGGGAACCTTGATATTCCTAATGACCATTGTTTGGAATTTTACAAAACTAACCTAACAAATTCATTGTAGATTTGAAAACATAAAAGTTTCCAAAATTTAAATATTTCCAAGTAGTTTGGTTCTGTTTAATAGGGGCATATTTGCTCCTTGTCAAATTTACATGTAGGTCCTTTAATAAAATCCTTTCCACAGAATTATACACGCAGGTTGTGATGCATGTTTTAGCTTGGCAATAGATATATGAACAATATAAAAAGTCTCAATTCAGGTTCCTTGTTCAACATTGCCTTTTGTTATGTTTTTATTAGCTCACCTGGCACGAAGTGCCAAGTGAGCTTATGCCGTGGCGCGGCGTCCGTCGTCCGTCCGTCCGTCCTCGTCCGTCAACTTTTACTTTAAACAACTTCTTCTGAAGAACAGTCAGGCCTGGAGGCATGATATTTGGCTGAAAGCTTCGTTGGTAGGAGCCCTACAAAGTTTGAGAACGAAAATGACCTTGACCTGTTTTCAAGGTCACAGGGGTCAAATATGTCAAAAACTTCAAACGACTTCTTCTGAAGAATTAAAAGGTATAGAATCTTCATATTTGGCTGATGGCTTCCTTGGATGGAGCCCAACAAAGTTTGAGAATGAAAATTACCTTGACCTTCTTTCAAGGTCACAGGGGTCAAATGTGTCAAACACTTCAAACGACTTCTTCTGAAGAACTGAAAGGTATATAATCTTTATATTTGGCTGGTGGCTTCCTGGGATAGAGCCCAACAAAGTTTGAGAATGAAAACTAGTTTGACCTACTTTCAAGGTCACAGGGGTCATATATGTCAAAAGCTTCAAATGACTTCTTCTGAAGAACTGAAAGGTATAGAATCTTTATTTTTGATTGATGGCTTCCTTGGATAGAGCCCGACAAAGTTTGAGAATGAAAATGACCTTGACCTTCTTTCAAGGTCACAGGAGTCAAATGTGTCAGACACTTCAAACGACTTCTTCTGAAGAACTGAAAGGTATATAATCTCTATATTTGGCTTGTAGCTTCCTAGGAAAGAGCCGAACAAAGTTTGAGAATGAAAATGACCTTGACCTTCTTTTAAGGTCACATGAGGCAGATATGTCAAACACTTTAAACGACTTCTTCTGAAGAACTGGTAGTTATAAAATCTTAATATTTGGCAGGTGGCTTCCTGGGAAAGAGCCAAACAAAGTTTGCGAATGAAAATGACCTTGACCTACTTTCAAGGTCACAGCGTTCAAATATGTCAAACAGTTCAAACAGCTTCTTCTGAAGAATTAAAAGGCATAAAATTATAATATTTGGCTGGTGACTTCCCGGGATAGAGCTCACCAAAGTTTGCAAATGAAAATGACCTCAACCTACTTTAGAGGTCACAGAGGTCAACAACATTTTAATGGATTTGTTCTTGAGAACTAAAAGGAATGGATTCATAAGATTTGGCTGGTAGCTTTTTGGAATAGAGCTAACCAATTTGAGAAGGAAAATGACATTGACCTACTTACAAGATCACAGGGAAAAATATGTCAGCAACTTCTGAAGAAGAATCAAAAAGCATAGAATCTTATAATAATATTTTGCTAGTAGTTTCAACAGATGGAGCCAACAAAGTTTGCGAGGGAAATATTTTTAGTGCAATATAATATTTAATGAGAATATTTTGCTATGACTGCTTAAATATTCAGGTGAGCGATACAGGCCCTCTTGGGCCTCTTGTTTTGATTGTGATTCAAGTGAAGCCAATGAAAGACAGCAAAACAAATTACACCGAGGCACCAGTTTCAGCAAACGTTTGGATATCTATATTAATAAAGATATCATTCACACCTGTAGAAATGTTGATGATGTACTGTTTTGCACAGTAGTATTGTTGATATTCTATTCGGTATCTGATTAGTTTCATTTCTATTTTGTATTTCAGGTCAGGATCTCTAGGCTATGGACTTCCACCGGCTGACAAAGTATCCTCCCTTGTGGTAGGGGTGATATCTGCAGGTCTTGGCCTGCCTGTCGTTCTCATGGTCTTTGGTGGTGTATATGTGGTTGTGAAGAAAAAGCTGCGTAAAACTGCTTCTCCAAGCTTCTCTGAAAACCTTATTAACTGAACATCAAATAAAGAATGCTGACAGTAACAGGTGGACGTTACAACTGATCAAGATTTCATCTTTAACATGGTCATAACATGAATCCATCGTGTCTTGGTTTACAAGAAACCTTTTTTTTTTTACTTTTCACAATTTCTGTGCAAATTAAAAAACAAAAATCAGAATATATTGAAGAATTGCTTAAAAATATATGTTTTGTGGTTAAAATGACTATTGATATCAAAAATTTGGTTAAAGCAGTATCTAATTTATGGTTGCAACAACATGCCTTTGCAGTAGACAATACATTTTTAAGCTCACCTGGCGCCACTAAAGGGCCATGGGAGCTTATGCTGTACAGCAGTGTCCGCCGTCCTCCGGATCCTCTCGTCAACTTTTTCATTTGAACGATTTCTTCTGAAAAACTGGAGGACCTAGGGTCATGATATTTGGCCAGAAGGTACCTGGGATGAAGTGCTATAAAGTTTCCTCATTAAAATGACCTTGACCTATTTTCAACGTCACATGGGTCAAATATGTTAAAAACTTCAAACAGCAATATCCTAAGAACCATTTGGACTAGAGGCATGGTACTTGGTTAATTATGTAGACCAGCTGTGTGAATTGTTTTCTTTATTACAGTAATGAGGTCAAAGGTCAACTTTAAATGCAAGTCGGGAGTCAAAGGTCAATGTGGGTTAAAAGCTTTAAAATTAAAAATGTTATAACCGTTAAATAGATGTTAAAATGCCTTGTGAGCTTGTTACCAAATTTGGTCTTAAGTTACCTATATGTTATTTTCATTTAACAAAAGAAACAGGTGAGCGATACAGGAACTCGGGGCCTCTTGTTTTATTATGAGATTGTGTACAAAACATAAACATGTATGAATTCATTCTCATAGATGTCAATCAATGTTTTTGTGTTTGTACTGTTAATTTTCAAATACTCTATGTTTCTTCAAATGTTTGTCTTTTGCATTGAACATTATTTTGATGACAAAATTCACCAACAGTCTTAGCATTTTAAATAAGATTTTTTTTTGTGTTCAGTGAAGAAAGTAAACTGTGCTCTGATGAAGAATTTATTATGGGAATATTAACTACCATTATTTGTTAAAACATGTACATTGTGGAATGGAATGATGTTGTAGTGTGAGTTGAGTGAAAGTTAATTTGAACAAATGTCCATGCAGTTTTTAATTATAAATAGCTTTATATTGTACATGTTTGGAAATTAATGAACAGATAATATGAGATATTTTTCATGTTTGAGAATATTGATGTGACAGTAGTACATAAGTGTTTATGTTACCTGTACACATTTGTACCTAAAAAAAGGTATATATAGAAAAGTATTTGTTGTTTTTGTAAGGTGGTCTAACATTTGAATTCAAAAGATTCTTGAACAGCACTTATTCATGATTTTACTAGTTCAGTTAGTGGAAAGTTAATAACTTTTTTAAAACTGGAAAAAATATACCTAAAACATAACACTATGTATCTTTGAAATGGTGAAGTATTATCAAATACCATCAGAAAAGTTCTCAAGTAGGATATTTTATAAACTCTGTCTCAAACTTTACAAGATGTCTTGTAAAATTATCAAATGATCACTTTTGTGATGCATGAATATTAAATGCATGATACTTCATTCAGAAGAGGATGAGGTTTGTTTAGCTCTTTATACATGTAACACTAAATCAAACTGATTTCTATACAGATGTATATATATCACTCTCTAAAATCATCTTAAACTCAAGAGTTTGAAAGGATGTGTGTTTTGATTTTCAAAATTTCAGGGCTATTTGTATTTGACTTCTGAAATGCTCAATGCAAGGAATCAACTTAAACTCCTGTTTGTATATATTATACTGTACTGGATGTAAACTGAACCATATGAGATCATTTTCTTTACTTGTATTTCTGATTATAACAATTTTAACAATATGAATTTGTTTGCACTGGAAAATCACATTTTTGTTTTGTATATCGTGTAATTTGACTAAAAACCAGATCTTTGTCAGTATTTTAAAAGCTGTGATAAAGCGCTTGCCCATCCTCGATATCCAGGGGTTACGCCCACTTCCACTCTTTTCACCCCTGGAATATGTCATAGCAAAATTGAAGGCATACGACTAGCTATTTGATTGGTCTCAGGTAAAAAAAAACCTGACCAATCACTAAGCTGATACCTCTGAAGATTACAGAGGAGTGACGCCCGACTTCAAAGCCAGTAAGTTTGACCGTTACACGACTGAGATTCTTTTGATGTTGATAAAACTAGTCCTATATAAGCCCTGGATATCGAGGATTGTGCTTGCCATTCACGTTAATTAAATGTAATACATTTTTAATGTTGAAATAATTATTATTTGTAAACGCCGAATGCTTCACAGAAAACCTAATGTTTTTTCTGTGCATCCAACTAGGGATATGTCATATATATTTTCCCTAGAAAAATTAAACAGGAAAGGGGCAGTTGAAAGAAAGGTGTTTTCATAGAGAAATGGACTTTAACCAAACCAACATGAATTGAAAAGCTTAGTTTCAAAAGATTAAAAATATGTTGGTAAATAGTTAACTCAGCTTCGTTTCCAAAATTGCCTTAAATATTTACCACCCTCATTGAATATTTACCACCCTCATTAAATATTTACCACCCTCATTGAATATTTACCACCCTCATTAAATATTTACCACCCTCATTGAATATTTACCACCCTCATTGAATATTTACCACCCTCATTAAATATTTACCACCCTCATTGAATATTTACCACCCTCATTAAATATTTATCACCCTCATTGAATATTTACCATAATACATACACATATGTTGATTATTTTTGATAATACATGATTATTAACCAATGATCAGAGTTGTTTCATCGCCATGGTAGTAGAATTGCAAAATGTAGTATATATATCTTTAGTGACTTAGTATGTTAGTTGTTTATATTTACATGTCCTGGAGTACGTGATGTTTCCATAGTCTTGCTAATGTTTGTTTAAAATCAAGGTTAACTTAAGCAAATGCTGTGATACATTTACATTGATTACATCACATTCCAACTTGAAAGTATGGAATGTTGAAATACGAGATGCATGTTATATGTGTTTGTGCTATACGGTCATGTTCCTGTCCATGACAACATATTATAGAGACTTTATGTTTCACAGTCCTCATCTAATCATAACAAGTACTAGTGTGCCAAATTGTTTCGTCACATTTTCATTCTCCACCATAGTATTTTAGTAATACACCTGTAAAATTGTGTAGAACAATTTACAAAAGTTGATCAATTACATGTAGTTATATATAAGACAAATTATAGTATATGATTCTTCTCTATCTTTGAAAAAAAGCACCAATTGTGTTATTCAATGGTTTGATGTGTTGTCCCACTGTTGTTTATTCAACAGCTGAAATACATGTATTACATATTCAGCATAGCATTAAAAAACTCTACAGGTTATATGGTAGAAGATAAAGTACAGTATATGCTTCTTCTCTATATTTCGTTATGGCAAACAAATTAGACTGATGTAAAAGACAAGGCAATGAGAAGTTAAACTTAACACACACGTTTTTTTAATGCATACAAATATATAACAGTAATTTTTTAATTCCGACCGTTTTCTTTGGACGATTGTTTACCAGCCATGTTTGACTTTTCAACTATTTAATGCATTTAGTCTACTGCCGGATAGCACTAAATCAGCTTTTTTTATCAACACCCCTTGACACTTGTTTCTAAGGTGTGGGGGGATACAAAAAAAATGTATAGCACACAGATGCTTCACCACGCACAATAGGTCCCATGTATACATGTATTAATCCAATTCACGTTAGATTGTGATAAATATGTTTGTACGTGTAAAAAGTGATAACAAATCTTCAACATAAATGTCAACATGTTAAGATTTTTTGTAAGGCTCGTAAAGGTGACACCACATACAATTTTACAATAAAGCTATATTGCGCATGTGTTGTATGTAAACCTGTGTAGACGGAATCGTTTTTAAGCACATGTTACAGTGAATGTATATGTACGGCACAAATGAAGTACAAAACCAATGATTTCCCGGTACATTTATATAAGGTGTGTGTTAAATTATTCCCTTAAGAATTTTTACAATCAAATGAACTTTGATGATGTGTGTCATTAAGTTGTAAACAGAGTTACGTATACCATGCTACATGAACTCGAAAAAAAACAAGAAGTATATAACGTAACATTATCACATGTTCTGCATTCATAAAATTTTCAGTTATTGTTCCTGAGGTAATTTAATTGTCATCAAGATTGTATGTATTATGGTTTTTCAATAAATGATATGAAATGAGAGTATTTTTCTAGTAATTTCAGTTATGTTTCCCTTGATAATAATGTAACGTTATATTACTACTGTTGATAGAATATTAACGCTTAGTTTTTGTATTAAAATAGGTTATGACAATCCTTTATGCTCACTTGTCCTCATATCCTATGGTAATGTGTCATATCGAGGCTTAAGTATTTAATACCTTAACTGTTTCCTAGATAGTCGGTACATTCTGTATCATCAGTACAATACACCTCTTTGCTGGTATAGGTATCTTGGACAAAGAACTTGCTATACATAACTAATGTCAAGTGCAAAATTTATTGTTCTTAAATTAGTGTTTAGTGAAAATTTCGCTTTGCATAAACTAAAATGTCTTAGTGTACTTCATTATACATTCAAAATTTGTTAGGCATGAATCGGTGTTTAACGTCAAATTTTTAGCTCACCTATCCATAAGGGCCAAGTGAGCTTATGGCATGGCGCAGCGTGAGGCGTCTGTCAACTTTTTCCTTTAAAATGGCTTGGAGGTTTTTGACCAAATTTGGTCTGGAGCATCGTTGGCCAAAGGGTTCTCAGTTTTGTAGAGGGTATGGTTTCCCTGGGAGCAGAGGGGCGGAGGCAAAAAGAGGGAAAATAGGTAAATCTTTTAATATCTTCTTCTTCTCAACCAATTGAAGAATTTTGACCAAATTTGCTCTAGAACATCTTTTGACAAAGGAGCATCAAGCTTGTACAAACGGAGGGTGTGGCCCCTCTGGGGGCGGAGGTGCGGGACCCAATGGGGGAACTATAGGAATTTATTTCTCCTACTATATTATAAGTGAAGGGATTTAAACCAAATGCAGTCTGAAGCATGCGCAGGGACAAAAGAATCAATTTTGTATAAACTGAGGTGTGTGGGCCCCCTTCTTTGGGGCAGATGGGTGGGGCCCATTAGGGGAAATAGAGGAAAACATGAAAGAGATCCTTCTCTGTACCGTTGAAGAGATTTTAACCAAACTTGTTCTAGAGAATCTTTGGGCAAAGGGAATTTAATATTTATATAAATGGAAGATGTACTCTCTCTCTCTCCCGATATGAGATTCTGAATGTTGGGAAGGGGCAGTCGAACAGGAATCGCCTCTTACTACACACGTGCAGAGGGATATATCAGGTCTATTTTTGGTTTTTCAAATATCGCTTGATAATTCGCTTCTGCATGGGTTCACATTAGTCGCCTCCACATGCAGTTGGACACATCAGGTTTATTCTTCCCCGAACCTGCACAGGTTAGTTTCACTATTCGTTATCTGTTAAAAGATGCAAAAACAAATGATTTCCATTTGACGAAAGCAAGCTATAATGATACTTGTATTTGTTAATGTCCCAATAATTATAAAGCATTTATGTAAACTAAAGATACCAATTCATTATAGGTGTAGGTGGAAACGACCCCGTTATATTTATGAGCCAAAACAAAGTTACCAAATATTGTTTCTTCAATAGTTTATCTTTCAAATGCTTCCGTTGGTAAATTGGTCCGGAAGAAGTACAAATATGACTCGTCGGATTATAAAGAATCTTCACATGAGTATTAAAAGGTACGTTAAGGAAGGCAGTAGGCATTTATTTTGCCGATCAGATATAAGATGTCAATCACGACCTTTTTGCAAGATGGTCTTAAGAGAATGACATCTATTGACTGAGAAAGTTAAGACATTGTGGAACACAATTAACTCTTATATTAGCATTGATCGACAGAGATTGATGTACAATAGATATTATGTTTCCGACTTAATGGACGTCAAACACGCAATTAATTTGTTATGCTTAAATAACCATTCTTCTCATCAAAAAGGTAGGCTAGGGTTGAGGAGCCCATGATTCTTTTTTACAAAAAAAGAAATCGACCAATAAATAGTACCGCATATGATGCATTCTTAGAACCCCTTAGTTGCTTTCATTCTTTTCAGTATTACGTATCAGAAAAAGTTGGTTTTGTTTCATTTAAGCAACTGTATAAGATAAAGGTAAAAAAACCACTAAAGACTAAGTGTATGTAACCCAGTCATTTTATTGAAGAATATCTGCTGTAGCCTCTTATTTGCCGATACAATTACGATTATATTTTGGTTTCTATTGAGTCGACTTTTCATACTTTGTTGGGAGTACATTTGTAATAGATACAGGTAATCCTAACATCAAACGGCCTAATTTTAAGTTTAGGGATTCGAGATGGCTGCCGTGGCATTGCGCTATTTACACCAAACTGTATTTTAAGGCGATAAGGATCAGATGATATACTGATGCAAATTTGTTTGAAAAATACCAACGTCTAGAGCCCAACTTTTTTTGAAGGTTGTTTAAACCAGTAATGCGCATATTGTTTTGATGCAAGGTTAAACTTAAGAAAAGGGCTTTGCATGATTTGAAATATAATTATATTGTAACAAAGGAGCCGGGCCACGGGTACATATCGGGCCCCTACATTTTGCAAAATCGGTGGTGTTTTTTTCTTGTCTGCTGTTTAGGATACATTGGAGATCACCGCATGTATCTGGTAAAAGGCGACTACTGTCGGTCCCCTCGGAATCGGGGGTTTCTTCCGTGTCCTCAACGAAGAGAATATGGAAGATACCAAAGTTGATCTGCTTTTCCCATTGCAACATTTGTGAATCTTTTCGCTTCCTATCTTTCTTGTCTATTTTCCCGGCGGTGTCTCCCAGTGCACACCTGGTCTCAGATTATCCGGATTCGGACTGTTGCGATGACGTAAAAACCGAAATCAACAAACAAAACACTACACTATGATTTGGAATAAACTGGGGCAAAACGTTTAACAAAGAAGAAAGAAAAATAGCTGCGACTTCCAGATTCCATTTTGCCACAAACTGTTAACTAAACTGTCTATAAAATAGCATAACTTGTAGAGATGAATAATTTCTTTCCTCAAAGCTGGTAATTTTTATGTGTATTTTTGCATGCTTAAAACTGTTTCAAGAATTAATTTGCTAGAAAGGGATAACATGTGTGTAAAAACTGACCTCTGTTGACAAACATTATTCGATCCAATGTACAAATGTATTCTATGGGCCAAGTCCGTGTTTAACATACGATAAAACCAAACCTTGAAACGTATCTCCCTTTTATTCCGAGTATCGTTATTAATGTGACGTTAATCTACGTTTAATGTAGATCATTACGTTATCTCTGTTATTGTCCATAGAATGACAAAAGCCAAGAACAAGTACTCATGATCATCTCTCTTTATTTCTCTGAATCAACATTATCATGACGGTCACTGATATTTTTCATTGATTTGAAGCAATATTTGTTTCACCTTTGCATATGACACATGTTCGCTACTGTATATACACGTAACACAGACCTGAGATCCAATGTGGTAGTGACATATAGTGACTGTTACAACTAGGTATACAGTCGGTAAGTGTCCCCTAGTCAGTGGTGACGTCATCTACTCGCCACGAACTGACGGACAATACAACAAAACCTCGTCCAGCCGCACTTCAATTATTTATTCAAGAGATTGATAAGTGTTAGTTCTTACTGAAGTAATCCAGATAATCAGTTATTCATTTTTGGGAGCATATCTAAACGTGTCAAATAAAAGAGGTTCAAATGTCTTATGCTTAATTATAACAAACATTTTTTTTTTAATTTGACACAAAGTCGTCTTCTAAAAGAACAAATATTTCCAATAGATTTTTCAAAAAGGTCTTGATTACATTTTTTCTTCATTTTTAGATATATTTTAAATTGTCTTATAGTGATCCTCTCGTAATGTCGGGCTGCATTTCAATTATAATTGTTGGTTTATCTTCTATCTTTTAAAATGTTTTAAACCACTCACATAGACTACATCCCATGAAATTAATACATAAAGTGCTCGAACGTCATTTCAGAAAGGAAATTTAATCTGTATTTAATGAAAATTATTCATTTCAAATCGACATTATCGTACGATAAGTTACCATGGAAAGGTAAACTGCTGTGGTTAATTAATCGTTCAATTACTATTAAGTACTGTACTAACAGAGATACATGTTTTTGTTTGCGGCAATGCAAGTTTACAAGACTATACTTTATAATTGCCCTGATAATACTTTTATCACAGACTTCACGGGTACATGCATAGCACAGAGGGGTAAATATAAAGCGATAGCTATATTCGACTCTACCCACGTGATGCCCTACCCCTATTGGTATGTTTACCATGTCTATATAAGAAATTCACATGCTCCAAATCACTAAGTTTTTTAAGTTCATCCCCTTCTGTTTCAACAGCAGATTTGACCAACTTGGATGTCCACACTTTTGGCCCCTATCTTCCCCAATGACAAGGTGTATGGCGCCGTGTAATTCATTTTTGGCCTCCTGTTTCGTTTACCACATTGTATGGGTGTAGTCACGTGTGTCTCGTACGTTTATCTTACAGAAAAGTCTTCATGACGTACAAATGCTTTTCCTATAGGATATGGATTTCATTTCATAACTGTTTTTGTATCCAACTCCTGTGGTCTGTTCGCTTCCTCAACCTGTATCAATTTAACATTTAAAAACGAAATAATACATTCTTTGCATCCATGGAGATGCCTTTTTTTCAATAAAAAACCCTGAAGCTTAGTTTTACCAGAAATGCTCATTTTGATTTTTGATCTTACATTGTAATTCAGGGATAAATTCTTTTCAGATACAGGTTTTCTTTAAATTGAAAACCAAATTTATTATTAAATTTTGTTATGTCTTAATGAAGATGTTGATTTTTACCAACCGAAATATACTTTGTAATTTGCAAATTATCTCATTAATACAGTTCAATAAATTGTGTGCGTGACAATGTAAGTGTTTGTTTGATAAATATGTTTGTTATATTATATTTATCAAACGAATAAAGAACTATCAAAAACCTTTGTTTATGGGCGTAATTATAGTTTTGTAAAACTACAGGCGGATCACTTACAACTCACCTAAAGGATTTTTTAGTATACTTATAACTGTATGGTATGATAGAATGGCACATGTCTTAGGAATTTTATGGTAAACTTTACAAGTGGGATAGTCTCCCTGTGTACACGTTAGATTTTACCTCATACTAACTTTGAATACTTTATACTGATGCCCTGGTATCGTAAAAGGATTCATTTTGGAAAAAAAGAATAATTTGGTGTAAGTGGGTCTAACGTAAAATAACACCGTTGCCGCATGTTGATATGTACATGTAAAAGACTTAACGGTCCGTACTGCCACAAGATAAGATAATGTATATGACGCTGTCTTTGACAAGGCTTTGGTCAGTGTACTTACATGACGGGAAGAAGCACGTGCATATTATTATCGTTTGTTACATTGTATGGTATACATTAACACCCACATATGGACAAATATACGTCTAATTTGTATCTTATTTATACAATGTACATACTTGATCGTAATATAGGCGATTTTATCTTATTTACACATATTATACAAAATACACCTAATACATTCGCCTAAATACAATCAGCTGCTCACATCGCACACAACAGTTGGACATAGCCTAGGATCACTCACTGTTTACTCTACCACACGACAGTTGGACATAGCCTAGGATCACTCAATGTTTACTCTACCATCAACGTGTAATATATAGATATATGTATATGATAGGCCATGTATTTTGCATATAGTTTACCATTATGATAACATATTTCTAATGATCAATACGTTGTGATAATGGTATTGTTTGTATGGCAATCATGAAAGTAAATATGCAAAATATTTGGCCTAAAAATGAAAGACTAACGTACCTTCTATTAGATCACCAAGGTATATGGACATAGCAATATTTATTATAGCATGTGGTATTGTAATGAAACGTAAGACAACAATTTTAATTCTTGATAATATGTATACCAGACGTTGTTTCTATGATTGGAAATAAAATTGTTATGATTAAGAATTTATTTTCACATTTCCAGTTTGTAAAGCGATTAAACTTTTTCTATGAAATTCTTCTCAGGAATCGGTGTAAGTCCCATTAAATTTTTGAATAAAAACCTGTATATTAAACGATAACTGTTTTGTTATTTTGGATACATTAATATTCAAAATGCGTTACTTTTCGAAAATTAATCTTGTAAAATGTGACTTATTATCTATCATAGAAGATTTCCACATTCGTTGTCAATAACTGAAACTAAATTTGGCACATACTGAAAATGATATGTACAAACACATAAATTACGGATTAACAGAAATTGTATTTACATTTTTTTTAACAATAATCAGTATCAAATAGAACCTAAATTTATTTAATTAATAGATATAATCGACATATTCATATAAAATAACAATTTGCTTCTTTTTGCGATTTGCTCTTAGTAGATTACGATTGCTATCACACACGCTTTCAAGGGTCAGCTTCGAGTAGTATTGAGGAAAATGAGTATTTCATCGGAATGCTTAGTCTCGAGAGTAATCCAACATTCATGATTTTTCACAATAATTTCTATCTTGATAGAAAAAAAAACAGCTATCTGCTGGTCTCTGCGTGTTCGCTGACAGAAACGATCACGCAGTCCTGTCGTAATATGAAAATTGATATAGTTCCATCAACATTGAACTATTTAAGCGAAATAAAACGATATCAATACCACCATTAACGTACAAAATGTGTGATTAAAAATTGCATTTTCTTCTTGCTTTGTAAATAAAAATAACTAAGATTTCTTACTTTGTAAACAAATATAACTGTAACTTGATGTTTATCATCCATCCCACGTCAAAACCAATATTTGTTGACATTGTTTTGTAATGGATATTTACAATGTGTATATGACAATGTCAAAACTAATGGAACTCACTAAAGGACGAACTTTGGCAAGCTGTCTCCAACGCCACAGCACAGACACGCGTCTCTACGACTACTAACACTACCATATAGGAAGCAGATGTGTGTCAGTACTGAAATGAGAATTGTGTACCGACCAAGACGAGGCAGCCAACGAGTATCCAACTCCCTGATATGTTAATGTAAGATGTTGTGTCCTGTCCTGACAGATTGAAACTAATCGTTAATCGTATTTAACGTTTGTGCGAGTTTAGACAATACTATCGTTCAACAACACAGAAGCACATTTTACACACCACACAGTGCATGGGAACATGGCATTATATTTAGGCTCTCTGCGCTCTTACTATATTCGAGACGATTCTGGTTTAGAGTTGTCATCCTTGGCAGTAGGAACGTTAAGTTTACAAGGCTCCGTCGCCTTGGTTGTTGCACTTGGCTCAAGCTCAGTGGGACGAGTTGCGGGTTTTTCAGTAATCGTCGTCTCCTTTGGTTGTGCTAAACAGGAGGGCGCTTTTGGCAGTTTATCTGATGATTCCTCTCCGTCTCCCATGCTTCTTCGATGAATTGCCATCTCTTCCTTGGATTTTTGTTTTTGTTCCTTTGTTTCCTTTGAATCAGGAATTTTCAAAAACTTCATCGCACCTTTGCCATCTGATGGCGGGGAGTCATCTGTTGATTTTCGTTTGTCTCTAGATTTCTTAACTTTGTGTTTATGTTCTGATGGCTTAAACAGTTTCGTGCCAAGAAAGCTGGACCTTCTACTGCTTTCCTTGAGGTCCTCCGGATCAGAGTCTCTGCGCGATTCGTCTGAACAAGAGGACTGTTGCATTCGATTCAAGTCAGCACCAACGCTACCTGAGCGCCTCCTTTCGGGAAAATGAGGAACTCTGAGTCCAAACAAATTAGGGCCAGATGGCGCCTTCTTCATTCTACTTACTTTCCCATTAGGTATATCTAAGTCTCTCAGGCTTTCTTTCGATTTCGATTTCCGTTCTTCTGTTATACGATGAAGTTTTCCCGTAAAATCGAATTTAAATTTCCTTTTCTTTCTAGAGCTTTTTGAGCTCTCTGAACTGTCGTCTGAGTCCTTATCCTCGTCCTCACTAGCACTGGTTACTACAGGCGTAGATTCCATCACGATTTCGTTTACCAGTTTCTGGTCTTCCTCTAGATCGGCTCGACTGCTTACCAAGCTGGGATTTTTACCAATCTTTGTTAAGCGTTCCGCAGCAACACTCTCCATCGTTCTACGCATGACTGGGTAACGTTCTAGCACAATGTTAAAGTGGTTGACACATAATGAGTAAACATTGACGTATGTCTCCGCTCTCACGCTTGCGACTCGCTTGGCATTGGTCAGTAGGCAGATTTCTGTTAACAAAAATGAACGGCAGAATATACTATTATGATACTAAACTTGTAACGTGTTTTGGAAATAAGAAGAAGACTCAGAATTAGTTTGTATTACCGTAAAAGTAATATATAATAGATATAATAATTTTGGTTTACTGTTCATATGTCAAACATGGTACGTCATCAATTCATAGTTATATTATCAAATTATCAAAACATTGCTTGTTAGTTAGACCCGTGCAATAGATGATGTATCAAATGGTTTTAAACAAGTGACTATTAAGCATCCTCCATCAAATTGATGTAACTGTTGTCTACATAGTGAACTGGTTATAGAGTGTGCACTCACCTCCAAAGTAAGACCCATCGGACAGAGACGTAGCTACCTCATTGTCGATTGTGATAATGTCCACAATACCCTCAGATATGAAGTACATTTTGGTTCCCATTGTACCTTCGCGTATAATAAAATCACCAGGCTGATAAACCTCAAAGATCAATTTACTTATAACTTCCGACACAAACTGGGGGTCGGCATTTGTAAAGAACGGCACTGACTTCACTAGTGCCCTGCAATTGTGGTTGATAATATCCTAGAAATAAAATAAAGAGATCAGCTGGTGTGTATATATCTAAGGTGATATACTTGTAGTACATGCTAGTTATGTGATTAGGGTTGAATATACTAGAAGATACAGAAACGGCATTTCAGGAAATATTTGATGATTTTCTGGAGAAAAGAAATATCTTCGAATTACAGATCATTCCATTACTAAAAATCATTAACATTTCTGAATTATTAAACAAATCATTTATTAATATTCGATACCACAATCGCAACCTGCATCGATATAAACCATATGTATAACATCATATGATTTCTGCATTATGACGTCTATATAGAAGTGACAATACAATCATTACAACATGAAGCAAATATAAAAGTATTTATAAAATAAACGATATGCAGTGGAACACTCGGTAATGACGATGAAAAGTATTTTAACCTGTCTTAGACATTCGTTCAGTTCCATGAGAATGTTCTCCTCATCAAACATCTTCCCTTGGTATCGGTGTTCATAGTACTCCGATATCTTCTGGCGCAATCGCCGGGGTAATTTCCGGTATATCATATACTCCTCCACTTGTTTGAACTGTAGGTAAGAAATAAATAAGGGAGATCAATCCGCGAACAAAACCCTACGGTGATTAATGGACAATGAACTCCTGTTACAGTGGGAGGTTCTGAAAACAGGAAGTAAACACACCTTCTAGTACAATCACTAGTACAAGTACTAATAGCACAGCCATTATATACATCAGAACTGTCCAATAGGGTTATTGGCAGCCGGGATTTGTTGTTTTCGATGCGTGGTTTATTATTAAAAGCACTCAAGCCAAACATATTTTTTTTAGTTTTAAAATAGCTAAGTATTGCATTAAAAAACCTATATTCGATATATTTACTTCCGCTGAACCGTACATTATCGGATTATTATTGGCACGTTTTCAGCTATGTATGAATGTGTTAATAGTAAATGACAAACAAGACACTATAAGGCTAGAAAAAAAACCCACCTTTCAATAGTTTAGGTATAACCACATAATGACTAAGCAATCAATAGAGTTGCGAGGAAAGCCAATATATGTTGTTATTTCCCTACGTAGTTATGCATAGTTGCTACGCATCGTTTCACTGTTTTGTTGATATTGCTACATGGTTAAAATTGCTGACATAATGTGTTTCATTGGTTTGTTTATTTTGTTACAAGTCACACATTATTGTCGTGCTCTAGCTAACTGTAATGTTGATTTTGTTACATTGTTGCCAGTTATTGTCACAATGTATATCACTGCGTTGTTGATTTTGTTACATAGTTACCAGTCACTGTCAATGCATTTCACGGCGTTGTTAGTAACGCACTGTTGACAAACTGCGTTTCACTGGGCCCTTCATTTTACGAAATATTAACACGATGTTGACAATTCCTTATTGACTGAGTTTTTGATATTTGTCAAGGTAACACATTGTTGACACTCCCTCTTTCACAGCGTTGTTAATTACATAGACACACTTTCTTTGTATGCCCCTTCTCACTTCGATGTTGATTTTGATAAGAAGTCATACATGTTTCCCTCATTTTATTAGTCGGGTTTACAGGCATTCCAAAATTATTTGATTATGGAAATCAACATACTTAACTAAATATCATTACAAATTCATACATCCATACATCATCGTTTTTTCTTGTAAGGTTTTTGGGGAACAAAGCAACCGCATATGTTTTAAAATTAAGGTATATTTTCACTCAATGTTTTTGTTTGTGCTCTAATTATAAAAATGAGGATAGAAAAGTAGCCCTACGAGAAAAGGAATTATTGTCATTTTAACTATTTCATGTATAAGTCTGAACCGATGAAGTATAATCAAATCTGAGCTTGATACCATAGTACGGACAACCTAACTGAATGGGACCGTTTACCCCGGAAGTATGAGGTAGGGGTATATGAAGCTAAGTCAGCAAACTGACACCCTAATGTTTGTACAATTTCAAATGAAGAATTAATGTTTCATTCACAGCGATTACGGAAAAACATGAATTCCATTTTATCTGTAGACACTTTTAAAAGCTTTAAAAGTTTTTCATCGCTTTCCCTAAAAAGGAGATAAGGTAGCCAAATGACACTCACAACAGATTATGTAGTTCATATCAGTAACATTTAATCTTTGATTAATGGTTTTAAGCTAGAACTATCTGAAATCCTTTTCTGTGATCAATTTATGGATTTGTTTGCTAATGTATCTAAACGTTAAATTTGACTTAAACATTTATTATAGATAAACTTCACATAATTTGATACATTGTAGTTAAATAAATTATGTCGGCTTCGATAATCTTTTTTTTCTTCTGGTCAGCATTCACTCAGATTGCTTTGAGGAAAAAGTGAGATACTTTGAAAATGATGAGGGTGTATTCTTAAATATCAATAAAAGCTGAAATGGAGGAAACTTACTACTATCTTAACATATTTGGAAATTTAACAATGCACATATTGTAAATGATCGACAGAGATCTGCACCATATTGTGTGAAACTTTGCAAAGCTAGATTATTTTGTGGAATACATACATATCAATACAACAACACATGCGAAGTTGTATGCCACCGCATCAAGGGGTCTATTATCCGACACGAGCATGATCGACTTTTCGTTACATTTAAAAAATATGTAGAACTGACAATATACAATATTACGTTTCAAGCATGATTCATTTTGTTTCCATGTGCTGATTTTTATTTTTATTATTGTTGCAGCGCGAGGAGTCGAACGGATATTAACGCTTGATATATTTTAACGGATGCAAACAATGGTACTCGTTTACCAAAAAGAAATGGATTCCTTAATTTATTTCCCGGAAATTAACATTACCTGTGAGTAAACAATGTAATTGTTGCTGAAAACAACTTTCACAATGATCATTGTAAGGGTTCAAAATTTGTGCTATTTAATTGTGCACACATTCAATTTTATAAGACATTGCATGCTAGTGTTTTGTGTCAATACCTTTTCATTGTAAAGTCGTCTCGATGTATCGAAGGACTGGATAATGGTGGTGGTATGACCAAGAAATAGTGCATAGCATGTGGCACCACTGAGCATACTCAGTATTGTCAACCAAGTGTCCGTCATATTCTGGGGTGGAAACCGGCCATAACCAATGCAAAGCATGTGGGAAAGGGCTTTAAATAAAGCCCATGTGTACTGTTCAGCCCAATGAGCTTCCTAGAATAAAAATAAATCGACGTGATATAAATAAAATGATAATGATAATAAAAGAAATGACTGGCATACTTTCACATACAGATGGTTGAAAAATGACTGGCATGTGATATCATTTGAAGTTGACCAATGTGGGATTATATTGTAAACATAGATAGCAGGGCCTTTCTTTAAACTGGTACTCATATATTGTTAAATAGCCTCCATTTTGTGATGGGTTATTAAAAATTGAGTAAGCAATTATTGGTTGATGATGGTATAGAAATTTCAAAGTCCCCGAAGATAGTTTCAACATAGATGGTCAATCAATAGACATGATTTATAGAAATTCAATTTTTCTCTTCATATATATTTATTATTACAATAAATGTCTGTAACTTAATGAATTTTTTAGTGTATACATTCTGCATGATTTTAGGTTTATTTTCCATTTCGTACATATTATCATGTTAGCGATAAGTCTGAACGTGTGTATTGGTACACTGTACAGTCTGTCTTACCTAACGGTGCAAACTGAATTAGCTGGTGCATTATTATTTTTTGCTGTTTATGCGCGGCTCTCATTGTACAAATGCTTTACCAGCATATAAATTCCATTTTTGTTCATGACGTTAGGAAAACAACTGGACACTAAATACGAAAAGAATAAGTCCGAATGACACAAAACTCTTGTGGGAGTGACTAATATTATTGATTTTGACAGTTAACATTGTGGTTTTAACAATGGTTGACGTTCTTTCGGACCTGTGTGCTGGCGTTGTGTTATATGTGCATTCCCCCTAACTTTTATCTGTCTATGCTATGTTATGGAAGACACGAACGCATCTAATCAAACATGCTATTAATTTTGTCCTTAGAAATATCCCCAGGTCTGACATTATAGCGACAAAGGGTATGTATCTGTTGGGCATTTTTTTAGCTTCTCGAAATCCTATTTCCATGCTTTTAAATGATACTTGTGCATTGTAAGGTGTGAACAGCTACGATTGCATTTTATCTGTCAAGAGTAGAATTTAATCATATGCAGGTTTGTTTATATTATTATTGTTTTTCTTGAAAGTTGTAAAAATGCCGAAAACGAACCATGATATAAATAATTTTTTTATTTATTTTAAATATGGTCAAATGAAATATGAACATACGATACTTTACAAGCTTTTTTTTTTACTGACGTTCTGATTACACGAATACATTGCACGAATAGATATATTTCATAATAGCTTTAGTCCGAGAGCAAATTATTCATTTCCGCGATAAACGAGTGCAATCTGAGACGACAGATGAACACTTATGTAGTATTGCTTTATTGCGCACCTATATTTGTTCTTAAGATTCCCATTATATAAAACAACTGTCACTATATTAAGGATTCGTCAGGTATCTATCTTCAGTTTTGAAAAATGTCCTATTTTATCACAGGAATAAGATGGGATACCTTCGCGTCGTTTAGATTACCGGCAAGTGTTACTTTCGAAACAAAAATAAAATAATATTTAGTTTTGTACATTTATTTTTTAAAATTTAGAAATATCCTTTTAAGCTTTTATTTGCTTAATTTGATAATTGATACGGTATTTTGCAATGCACAACATATGTGTATCTATAACCTGATAGTAATTAAACGTTGAATTATGTACAGGAATCAACAGTGTTAGCTATGCGAAATGATTATCACAATAATATCGAAAAGCAACCAGAAGTATGTGTTAAGTGGTCTGTATACAAAGCCTCGAAATACAAATCAGAAGTTATATAAGAGTATTTAGAAAAGCAAGGTAGTCATAAGTTAATACAACCGATAACACAATGAATGTTTATATCATAGTGTAACTAATACATACATCAAGGGCACACACGTACCTGGAGGGATGTACATGTAACAGTAGATTACACAAAGCTTACTGTCTACAAAACTACAAACCTTCAACCCTTCAATAGACACCCAGCAATCGTCAGGATAATCCTGCAGCATCGGTATTAGGAACTGGAGACATCCGTTCCAGTGTCCCAATAGAAACATTAGGCATAGTAAATTGAAGATCCGCATGAACTTCCCTGCGAAAGCTAAAAACTGCAAACACAAAAGTAGATAATGTATAACAAATCTTTATTTCCTGTCAAGCAATCCTCTAAATAGTCCTGAGAGATTGGTATGACAAACTGAAGACAACCATTCTAATGGCCCAATATGAGCATTGGGGAAACAAGGTTGAAAATCCGCTTAAACTTCCATGTAAATACTAAAAGCCAATGGAAATTACCATATTTTAATACACTGTCTTCTTACAACTGTAAATGAAATAATCCAGATTATTCAGCACAATATAATACAATATCACAGTTATATCAAAGAAGACCATCAACGGTATCAGCAGGGTAGGTTTCATATGGATAACAGTGGTATAAAAGATCGCTTTTATGTTCGTACTGTAAAACCTCGTTATGCTGCCATCATTATTGTTCAAAGAAAGTTGAGTAATATCAAGGGGTTTGGTAATAAACTGAGGGAATGGTATAACACATTCTTTAAAAATTAGAAAAAATAATAAGCGAGGAAGCAAATGGAACGAGGAGCATTGATTGAGGTTTAACAGTACATCACAAAAGGAATTCATGACAAATTTGTACATACATTTGTTGTTTTGATGTCAATTCTGGTTAGAAGTAATACACATTTCTTTTTTATTGTGTGACATGATAAGTCACTGAGATTTGATATTTTATCATCTTATCATAGTAGAGATCACAAAGGGGAAACTTATACTGGTATTGACAAAAAGCCGTACCGATTAATTTGATTGAAAATAAGAGATGGAAAAATGATAAATATACAATAGAAACGCACCCGGAATGTTAAACAATGGAAATGGTTTGATAGAAGTAGGGTAGGATCATGAAAGTGATAAGATAAATATACATTTTGAGTGAAAGAATAGTATATGGTTTTGAGTAGAATTGTAATAAAACTATTTGAACCAAAGGTGCGAATACTTCCGAACTTGTAAAAAAGTACGGACTACGCTTTTCATTTCAATGTTAAGAGGGACAATTTTAATATAACAACGTGTTTGACTGGAACGTAAACACCAGCAAGGAAGATAACAGCGGTAGGAGAGTGTATAAAGAGTACTTGTATAGGCGGCTAAATGTACTTATGTCCGAGGGAGGGAAGTGGATTAATACACTTGTGCATTGTTATGTATTTGGTTAAATATTGTGCTTAGTGAAGAATTTGCAATCAAATGAAAAGATTATATAAAACGTACTAAATATTGCACAGAAAGTCGGATATATCGGAGGTTAAATGACACAAACAAAATAACCAGCAAACTGAAATGTCGAAATCTTTCATATATGTTTCGATTTAAAGCAAAAATGATAACATTACATTAAATGAACATATACAATGATGCATAGGGATGAAATGAAATAATCTAATACGCACATACATTGATACATGTAAACTATTTTTCATATAATGTAAATGGAATATTCTATTTATCATTTAACTTTCCTGCAATTATTGTCCCAACACTTAATTAATAAATTCAATACTATTTTAATTCCACATGGAATCGCTGTGATTGGTTTAAGGTTTCCATTATTTTACGAGTGTCGTCACAACTAGGAAAAGTCATGGCGTCCAGTCCGTTCCAAAGTTTTGTAAAGTCAGATATGAAAAACCCTTGAGCCAAAAGGTCGATATTTCAATTTCAAGATGTTTTCATGAGTATATGCAATACTATTTGAATATTTGGTTATGCGATGAACAAAATTTTACATTCGATCCCATTTCATATTGGATTTTTGAACATCGTCAAGATTTTGTATTTAAAAAAAATTCGTAGATTCATTCCATAGATCTTAGGTGAATTGGAAACCTATGCTTGCTCTTCTATATACAGATTTACTAATTAAATCAGACTTCAAATAAAAAGTATGATAAATATAAATAAAAGTGGACCACTGTTATCATGCTATGATGTTTTGATGATACCCATATACAATCAATAATAACAGCACATGTTTTACAAACTGCTAAGTTTTCAAATATCGACAGATATCTTCTCTCGTAAATTCATGTTGATTACGAATACCAATGTCACGAGAAATCCATTTTTTTCACGCATAATTCTTCTAAAGCTGACTATTGAAATAGGTGTTTGCGAAAACTGATGTACAGTAATACAGCCTGAATTACAACAAAAAATGACATTTATTTTGCAACTTCTTGCTGCAATGATTCACATTATTCCGTCAGCATAAAATAATATAAGCGTATTACAAAGGTCTCACTCAGTTGAAATAATGCGAAAATAATGTACAAATAATGTTAGTTAAATATTTGTCTTAAAGTTATGTTGAAGTATATTTAAAACCAGTAGTACAGAAAACGTGTCTCGCAGATGTATCGGTCGGATTGGTATATATGAATCATACACACACATAATAAAACATAGTTGTTAAAAGTGTTATGTTAGATACGCGTGCAGAGTAAGTTACGTGTAATTGTGTGTATAATGTGCAATAGAAAATAGGGCAAAAGCAACTGAGCTACAGTGATAACTTACCATAGTGCATTGTTTTGTATTTAGTTATCATGGTATGTGCCTTCAAGTACGTTAACTGACTAAACTGTACATATGTCAATACAACAAGTACGTTAATCAACTTAAATCGAGATGCAATAGCTAAGTGATCGATTCATACATACAAGACTAAAACATTGTGTAAGCTATACAAATTGTCCCCATATAACATTATATCATCATTCAACGGCTTTTACATTCTACTAACATTTCATGCATTCCAATGTAAAATAACGGTGAGTTATTATGATTTTGTCAAAATCCGTGTACATCGGTATCTGTTACTAAAGCACCATATAGGTAACATAATAACCGTAACACATTTTGTTAAATAAACAATCGACAAGTGTTACATACGAATGAACTAATGCAAAAAAAAATATAACTGTATCATAAACTTATTACATCTTGAAATCTATATGACACACGTTTTGTTACCTAAACATCCAGCTGTGTCATTGTGCCACAGTGTTTGAACTATGTAGTAGACCTCTTTGTATACCAATCTGTACCCTAACGTACTGACCCTTAGTAATACATTTTCGCTAAGATTTATCAGAATATTTACATCTAGAGACACTGGTTTGTAAGCAATAAGGTATAGAATATACTGTTGCGATATAGGAGCTGATTGTCACGTAAATGTAGATGTTCTCTTTATCTATTGTAGGGATAAAAATAAATAAATAAATTGCAAACACACAACCCAAATACCTCGCTGTCTCGTGCAGCTACGTCAGCAGGGGTAAGTGCTAAAAGTAACGCCGTAATGCAAGCAATATTATAACAATGGCCAATTTAATCGCAGCTACTATATAAAGCAGAGATAAATTGGTCTGTAAATCACTCCTACTGAAAGGCACTCACCCCGGGTCGTCTGCGACGTCCGCACATTGCGAAACAGGGGCTTCCTTCAAACTGATGGGAAAACAAATGTCTTAATTGCATAGCATGCTTAATACGAAGCATTTAAGAGACAATCCACTTAACAGCAAAACGTTCAGTTAAGATGGAAATTGTTCCGTTATTATAGTTATTAAGTTTAGTGTTAATCTATTTTTTGCATTACTTCATGCCGACATATAGAGTAAAAAAGATTCGTGTATATATTCACAAAATTCATTTCAGTAGCACATCAATGGCTCACAATATTTTAAATGCTGCAAAATTGTTAAATGGAAACCTAACTTGAAGTATTGAAATCTATTGGTCTAAGCATGTATATAGTTTCAATCTTAGGTGAGGCGAGTTAGTAAATAGATACCAAGACAACGAAACAATAACTATCTAATGTTCATGCGCAAAATATATAACAAAGAGACATAAAGTACGCCATATGGGTTAAATCATGCATGCAGAAATAATGTGAAAGGTGCCCATAAGAGCCAGATTTAGTGTGGATTAGAGAGATAGACAAAAGTAAAAGCAAATTGATTTAGCATAGCCACTTCCCTCCCTTTTAGAACAAAAACAGTGGATAGATTCTGTGCTACAGTACTGTGAGTTCTAAGTGCCAATATTTTTTCAAAAAAGTGAAAGTGTATATCTGTAGAGTAAGGGATTTGAGAGAAGCATATTATATCTTTGTTGGTTTTTTTGGTTTCATTCTGTATTTTATAATTTCGTTCTACTTCAACATTGCTACACAGAACACTATGGTGCTAGTATACGTATACCGTACATTTTTTGCCATATGCTAGAATGAAGATAGAAAAAAGAATGAAGGGAGGTAAGAAAAGGAAAACAAACATAAGTTTATGAACTAAATGTGTAACATAGTTAACCTATAAACATATTTGAAATTTGAAATTAAAAGACAGATAAAAAAGTTAAAGAGAGTGTATACTGATAAGAAATAAATTATGTGTTGTCCACTTTCTGTCTGTTTAGATTTGAAATTAGATATAAATAATTAAAGTACATCTATACCACTTTTTTTCAAATCTTGAAGAACAATCAACAAATCTTAAAGAACAATCAACAAATGATAAACAACTAGCATATAAAATAAAGAATATAAGTTTGAAACAAAAACATCAAATTGCTGTGAACCAGAGCTTTGGTAACCCTGGGACGCGTTCGGAATGGCAACCGGGGGTCGCGTCTTACCTCCTCCCATTGCTGAACGTAGCGCACGAGGCGGGACAATCTGAGGAGTCTGAGAAGACTAAGCAGCTTTGCCAGGCGCAGCATTCGGAGTGCTCTCCCTGGAACAAACCGATAAAGCACACCTTTGCATTGTATTAATATGTTGTATGTTGATATATCCTATGAGATGCGTTAATGCTGATTATATTGTTACAGCTACAGACACCATATTTAGTGAATGACAAAGACTACATTATAAATCCAAATCACAGATATAGCAAACAAAATACAAAGACTGAATTGCAATGTAAAAGAAAAGAAGACTACACATTACTTGACATCAAAGTTAGTTAAGAAATGTGAAAAAACCCACAAGTAAAGTTAATAGTTGGTATAAATCTCATCATTTTTTATTTCATTTGTTTGTTAACCGAAGAATAAAATCAATCGTACACACATGCTAACCAGAGAACATTATTTGAATTAGGCAATAACGTTTTGAAAAGTGGAATTAGTGATATATCGAAATAATGTAAGCAATACATTTGAGTTGGTATTTATAGTTAGTCAATGTTATTTCTAACTGAAAATGACACATTGCCCGTCACGGAATTGGTCATTTGCAGATGGTATTCATATTGACTAAGAGTAAAAATCGAAAACAGTTCAATATATAAATATATTTATGATATTTCACATCTCAATCTTATGGGAAAATACATAATATCAATATTGTATTTGGTTCAAATAAGTGCACGAATCGTGTATGTAAATTTAATGAATGGAACCATCATCTTCAATACGGGATCAGTGGTATCCATTACTATTATGACGTCATAGTATTTGTGACGTGTGCACCTAGATCATTGCATTCATGACTTATAGAAAAGCCATTTGAATTTGGTGCTGTGATAAAGTAACATTGCAACACAGCAATTACGATAAACAAAGGTGAAAATCAAAATGATGGCTTTAAAGATATATTTATTAGCAATCAGCATCGCAAGAATGTGCAACCCATGTGCACGTTACAACATTCTGGTGTTTGTGATAGCATTAATATGATGGTAGTGTGGACATATAACGAATGTGAAACATATTTCATATACTGTTTTATGAAAACTCTGCATGCATTTTTCGCTTGAATACTATTATACATGAAAGTGTCATTTGATATAGATGAGCAGTATGGTGGTGAATGTCATTGGTACAAACACGGAAACATCAAAGCTTTTATTACGCTATTATATTAATTATCAACGATTCGTTTTCATACGGGTATTTTTTTGTCACACAATGAAATTTACCCTGAAACATAACAAAATCCAAAAGTGAATAAAAAAGTAACTGGTCCACAAAATAAACCCGACATAGCAGACATACTTCGATGACAGACAAATGAAGCATGCAGAACGTGGACGGACCAACACAGACCATAACAGAACAGATTTTGACAAATCTGATGACGTACAAAATCTATGTAACGTGTTTCATGTTGTAAATTTCATGAGACATCAACTTTTTCTAAACACTATGTTAATAAACATGATTTAATCGAACACAAGTTTTAATTCCGATATATCAAATAAATATTCTCTTAACTGATCTGTAATGGCCCTTTAAGTAAATAAAATAGATATTAAACTGTTAAATTTACGAAATGTGTTAAAACGGCACAACATTATATTAATGATAAGATAATGTTATATAGGTAAATAAATTTAAAAAAAATGATGATGAAACTGTAAGGCGACCATTCTCACATTTGCATATAGACGTCTGTTGACCTTTCTGAGAAGAAGAAATAGTAAAGTTATAAAGCCAAGCGTACCAATACACGTGTGCATACATATACAGTATAAAGGACATCACTGGGGTATATACGGCTAACAGTTATACATGTATAATATAGGTGCAGGACATGACAGGTGGAAAGGTGCAAGCAGGGCATTTGATTCCTGATATAAACGCAAAATCCACATTTCTATGTTAGGTACATGGTGCAGCAAATCGATAGTTTGCTTGTTATCCACAAACAATATGATTCATTTCTCCTGTCCTAATGTCTATCTCGAGGCTTCATCCGAACATGCTTTTGCTACGAATGTGATCTATATTTGCTATAACGATATCCTATTTGGTTAACATTAATTATTGCCAAATGCAATTCCCGTTTAAACTTGTTATCACATTTTTAGATATTTACAGTGACACAAAACTAATAAACTAAATTATATCCTACAGTTACTGTGCTTTGCTTCAGCAGCCAACTAAATCTTTTCTAAAAACGCAATTACATTTTTGCTTTAGTGAAACTATTTAATATCTGGTAAATAAGATCACTAAATATAATACTAATAGTTTACATATTTTATTAATTTTTGTTTTGATAAATTTATTTTCAAATATCCACAATTTCACACGTATTGTAATATCAATTAACAGCCATGCATATAATTCCTATGAATTCTAGACCAATATGAAGCAACATTATCCAACACAAAAAATCAAGCTTGAGTTTGTCAGGCAGTGACACTAGCAGCAGGCAGCGGATACGTCGTTATTGTCACACTGACGTGCACATTTAACATAACAGTGAATGCCGCAATGTCTACAGCAAGCAATGCCCCACCCTTATAATGAAAATGGTCAAGTGGATAAGACAAAGTAGGAATGGAACATGAATGGATAGCCTATTTTAACTTGGCGTCGTTTGAGAGATAAAATACGAGAATGATCACCTTGCCAGTATGGAGATGGGCCCATTGAAGCTGTCGTACCTGCGTGGAAAAGCTGGTTGAAATCTGCCTCTGCATCCCACATAAGAAAAATATAGTCCATTGGAATTGAACTTATCAAATCAAGGAAAAACCAGGATTTGACATAATGTCTTGCAATTAGTTTTGGATCTAATATGATTTCATCTGCGAAGTCATTTAATATCACACCTGCAAAGACAATGTGAAAATAGGCGTTAGGAAATCATTCGGAATGCCGAAAAGCGACAAATGCATATTTCAATTTAATAAATGATTGAAAGCACATACATTATATCCATTTTTAAAAAAATAAAATATATCTCGATCACAAGCTTTGAACAAGACACATACTAATTGACATTGAAATAAATAGGAAAACAACAAAGCTGCATGTTATAGAGTATAGGAACAGGATAAGCAGATAAAAAAGGGGGAAACAATAACATATGTGTAACGCAATATAGGGATAAATCCTTAATTTCGCTGCATATCGATTACATCTATTTATAAACGCTGATATAGGATTAAAATAGTATTAACTGCAATTAAAATAATAGGAATAATACTTTTATGTCAAATAACATTGTGGTGATATATTGAAAGAATAGCAATAAATGTAAAATGTAAATTAAATAATTGATGGAAGTTAACTTGATAAATATCTTACACAAGATAAATACTCTAGAAATATAAATAATCTTTGATAAAATGAAAAGAAATCTAAAACAAAGAGTTGGGAATAACGCATTGGTATTCTTCATTAAATGATAATACAATTATATGACAATGGAAGCATTATGTACAACGTATAAACTTAGCTTATTAAATGATATTTTCTAACGCTGTAATCGTTTCAGGAATGGACAAAGCATACAATGTATACGGGTGTAAATATTAAATGATAATTTCGATATATGATACCGAAAATAATTACAACATAGCCAGCAGTTATATTTAAACCATAATCGCAACTATTTGCTAATAAATCAAAATGAAATGCATTAAAGAACAAACAATACTAGCTCGTCCTTGTACAATGGGTCCATACTTTTAAGTAATAAGGACAAACTTGATATTCAACTGATAATCGTAGTTTATAATAAATATTGTGATTCAAAAGTACCCATGGTACAATGAAACATCAAAAGATACCATCGTTACAATGGAACAACAGAAGGTACCAGTGTCACAATGGAACAACATAAGGTACCAGTGTCACAACGGAACAACAGACGGTACCAGTATCACAACGGAACAACAGAAGGTACCAGTGTCACAATGGAACAACAGAAGGTACCAGTGTCACAATGGAACAACAGAGGGTACCAGTGTCACAACGGAACAACAGAAGGTACCAGTGTCACAATGGAACAACAGAAGGTACCAGTGTCACAATGGAACAACAGAAGTTACCAGTGTCACAACGGAATAACAGAAGGTACCAGTGTCACAATGGAACAACAGAAGGTACCAGTGTCATAATGAAAATAGAAAATACAACTATAAAAATAGGGCATCAGAAAGCGCCATTGTAACCACGGAAAATCAATTACAATGTATCAGTGTTACATTGAAACATTAAAGGGTACAACTGCCATAATAAAACAACAGAAGGTACGTGTACAGTTGTAACCAGTTACACCGGAACAACAGAAGGTTCCAGTGTCACAATGGAACAACAAAAGTTACCAGTGTCACAATGGAACAACAGAAGCTACCAGTGTCACAACGGAACAACAGAAGCTACCAGTGTCACAACGGAACAACAGAAGGTTCCAGTGTCACAACGGAACAACATAAGGTTCCAGTGTCACAACGGAACAACAGAAGGTACGTGTACAGTTGTAAACAGTTTTGTTTGGAATGGAACAACAGAAGGTTCCAGTGTCACAATGGAACAACAGAAGGTACGAGTGTCACAATGGAACAACAGAAGGTACCAGTGTCACAACGGAACAACAGAAGGTACCAGTGTCACAACGGAACAACAGAAGGTACGTGTACAGGTGTAACCAATTATACCGGAACAACAAAAGGTTCCAGTGTTATAATGAAACACCAAAGGTGTCATTGTACCAAAAGGACATCATAAAGGGTACTATCATTACAATTTCTCAACGTTACAATGAAACATCAGAAGATACCAACGTTATGATAAAACAGCACAAAATACAATTGTTATAAATTAAGATGGAACAACAGATAAAGTATAGACCCAATATAACGTATCGTATTCTACACTAAACTAGAGGAAAAGCTTATCATTCTGTATCAGAATGATCAAGACAAATTCTTATTTCTTCGTTTCTGATTTGCAAAGGTTTAAACTCTGTTTCAACTCTAATTAAAATGACCATGAAATTAATATAATAAAACCACACAAATGTTAAGTTATATCATATAATATTTTTAATTAACATGAATTGATAATGCACTAAAAAGGAAACAATAGATACGAAATAAATACCGTTTATTCATATTCGAATCAAATTATGTGTATGTGGATTTTGATCATTTTCAAAATGACACAATAATTTGTTAAAGTTGCAACAGAGTCGGTATACTTGCTTACTAGATATCTGGCACTTACGTAATTAGTCATTGGACAAAACTAAAACAACAAACTATCAACTATTACGGAAACAGAAACCATAGTTCACATTCCTATAAACATACGACATTGCTACAAAGCTACATGTTAATAAGAATGAACAATATTGGTAAACTGTTTAACACTACGCAGGCAGTACTATTTTATCTAGTTCTAATGGGAAGGAACTATCTATCCTACCAACTATTCGCCGTTAATGACGTCTAACACACTTTATAACGTGTTCTGTGTTTTATTGTTTGTTATTTGAAAATCAGATAGCATTACACTCCATCCAGTTAATACTTCGTTTCGTTCTTACATGTATGCTGCTCTATTGCTTATAATATCTTATAAACATTTCTAGTTTATTGTTTCAAAGTATTTATCATAATAGTACAGCACAAAACGTACAACGTAACGAACTGATGAATATATACAAATATACCAACAATTTATACTAACAATTTTCAATTTTTCAACAATACAGTAGATAATAAATTTGCTGAAATCGGAAGATATAATAATTCACCGTTGCTAGCAACAAGTTTTCAAAATAAATGATGGGATAAAAAGAGGAAAACTGAAAATACTGAATATTTAATTCCAAACACTGATATATCAAATTCATTAAATAAAGAGCACCGTAACATTGAAAACGGATAAAGATACATATTTAAAAGTAAAGCATACAATTCGAATAGAAAAGAAACAGGGTGTTTGTTAATATATATTTAGATAAATTGATGCAGTGCTTCTCAAAGGCACACGTGTATATTAATATTCCACCACGTCATTATATATCTTGTATTGGCTTAATAGTTGTGCTTCGTATTGCGATCATATAAAGGCAATGATGTTAGTGTCATTCCTAAACACTCTACAAAACTGTTAACATTTGTTAATTAACAATCCATACGTGTCTATCTACTCTCTAGTGGATTTATGTAATTACGTCACAAAATGCAGGTTTTGTCTGTTCCGTAATACACATCATCTTGCCAAACCGTCAAGTGAAGTGGACTGTTGGTATAGTGTAAATATGAGCAATCTGGTGAAATACCTATATGTAGAACTTACTGTTGACGTTTTCTTCATCGTCATGGCTGATTTGGAAACCTGATTTTAAACGTTACGTAAAATGACCAAACATGTGGAAGCAAACAATGTAGGTACACTTTTGAATATAAAAAAATAATGACTTAATATCAGGTTAATAACGATAGTTTATATTGTCTTAAAGTCGAGTTAGTTAACAAACTTTGAGGTTTGAAATTGAAAGTTATATGATGTTCGTAATTTACATGAAAGTAAAACTTATTATTTCATCCTCGTTGTCTAAATTAAAGAATGATCCGAGACGGATAATTTGTTCATATCAAATCAATGTCAACAAAATTTTCTATTTTCCAAATTTATACATATTTTCAAAGTAAAGGCCTTTGCAGCTACAGGAAGATTGATGATATCTTAGTTGATACTATTTATTGAGTTTGATTCAAATAAACTTTAAAGGTATGCGTTATCTTATACATGTTGCCATATACAATATTGTATGATATCCGTCACGGTTCATGCTTGTAGACATACGATAAATGAGACAAATAACCCTTATAAGATTGTACCTATGTTTGTTTGTATCGGATAATGGACATTTGATACACATATCTATTTCCGTACATTGTATACCTGATGAAAGAAACTATATATGTCGCCTCTATTGATACCTGAATTCACAACCATCATTGTAATTAGCCTCATTAAAATAACCATGCCACCGACGAACACATGATAGTTTACAATAAGTCATATACATAAAGGGTAATTAGATCGACACACAACTATTTCTTCGAAACATATAAACCTCGCGGTCAGGTTGATAACGCAAGGGTACAAGGATGGTTCGTTAAGTGTATGCAGTGTTAAAACATATGTTAGTCTTTATTCAGGCAAATACTAACACAATCAACTGATGCGATTTCATCATATATATACTTCTTAAAGATGAATATCAAAATAATGATTAAAATTTAACAAATCAAAGAACTGAAATGTAATCAAGTGTTAACATAATCTTACAACAACACAAAAGAAAAATATATAGCTATTGTACGTATTTTTTCAGCATCTAAACGAAATACAAAACTAATTTTATTACAGAAAATCGAACTCTACAGTGAACCAAAATATAAAAAAATACTAGTTCATGCAGTACAGAAATTAACCTACAAATATTTGAGCACAAACAACAGTGACTAGCTGCTTCAGACGTGCATTGTTTACTGTCGGAGGTTTGTTAGTAGTGCATCCGCCGCGTTCATTCTATAATGTAGTAACTGGGATGTACAACGGCACTGCGTACAGTAAGGGTATGGTCCATATTACGCTTTTAGTTATATCAGAATTAGTTTATTTTATATATCAGTCTAAAACCACATGGGGATGAACATAAAAGCAAAAGCAAACGCATATACATATATAGATAGATAGATATAAATGTACAATGTGGTTTATATAAAACATCCACACCGAACAATGAGCAACATAAATCTAGAATAGCATGCTGCCCTTAATTTTCACTTTAAAGTGTTTACATGTTATTATTGGTGTGTACTACTTTTCGAGTTACTGAAATATAGTTCCTATTTATGTTCAATCCAATTTAATGTTCGATTCTCAATCGTGATATAGACTTTATTAAATCTATTTGAAACAACTGTATTCATCAATAGAAAAGTATTTTAGAAGACTTTCTAAGTGTTACGCCTAAACTGAAGGATAACAAATTTTGTGTTGAGTAATAAGTTTAACAAAGAATCACAATATTCGAATGAATTGGTTTAGATATATTACGGTGTAATTGAGGCGCTTTACAGGACAATAACGGTAATTATGTAACCTTATACAGATAACAGTAGTATAGACCATGCTGTAAAGGATAAGATACTGATATGTTGCTCGTTAACGTTATTGATATGAGCCATACTACGTGTTTGAAAAAAAGGGTGTTTATTTTAAATTTGTTATTTCAAAAGATAAAATTTGTTTTATTGAATTTGTTGTTTAATGTTTACTCCTAAAACAAAAATAAATACAAAGCATACAATTTACATGAATGAGCGATATGTACGTAATTCCGATGCAACTTTTAGCACTAATACACCACGTCACTGCACGCGCACATATTATAAAATGTTGACAGAAGCATCCAATAATCATATACATAACATACGTATGAATGGGGTATGCATATATACAATTATTCAATGCAGCTTGGTCAGTATAATATTTTTAGTTATAAATTAACATTTTTGTCTCCCTTGAACCATGAATTTGGAGGCAACGGCAGCAAAATAAAGTTCAAACAGAGGTAGAAGGTCACGTGGGTGTAGTGTTGCCAATCATTTGCACCTGACTACCAAACATGGACTCCTTACCATGTGAGAAAGTCTGCTGTTGGTTATCTTTCAGATATATTGACTGAATATAACCCCCGTCGTCACAAATACCTGACAATGCACGTTTGAAGCGTTTAGTCAAAATGTCTTATCTATTTCACTGGCAAAATCTACCCCTAGCGACGAGGCAACCATCTTGACTGGCTTCACTTGTACACAAACCACACGTATTGTCTTTACGAAATTAATCTGATGTTGGGCTCTCCATTTTAAAAAGCTGACCGAAAAAGGTGATTGGTGATGTATATCTACATACGTGTATCAAGCAACAATTGTGTGTGATAGAAAATGTTAACGTGTCATTTCGCAGTATGATAATAAATTGGTGCACTGAAATGTTACTACAAATATGCCAGTCAAAATGGTTCATAGCACAAGTGAAGAAGGACGAAAAACTAGGGGCAGACAGCCAGTTAGTGATAAAGAAATTAAATGTGAAAGAAGTGATTCAGCACATATCAATAGGTGTCGCTAACATATCAGTTTCTCACTATTGTCCTATTCTAGAACAAACATGTGATCATTGAGGCTAAGTTTAGTATATGTTGTATCATTAGATATGTGTTGTCACGCTGGCGATATATTGATTATATTACTGATTTAAAATTACTATTTTGTTTCCTTTTTCGCTTCAATTCTGTCAATAGAAACTGATTACCCAACAGGAGATATCTTGTATCTTGCCTGTATCTTGTATCGAAACATTCAAACAAAATCATATCGCCAGGTGTCAGAGCTGACACTAGTGCCCCTAGCCTATTTGTAAATTTTGGAAAATACATATTAGATAAGGCCAAAGTTACATATAATCCCGATATGTACATAATGTATATGTGTACCAGCATTGAATTACAATACATGATTGCAATAAATGGCGACATTACAACACATGGTTACAGTTGCAGACTATAGATATCACAGGTTATTATATTTGCATTGTACTGATAATATTTAATGTATAACAACAAAAAATAAGCTTTGCTTAAACGACAATTGGTGGACATGTTTTCCGCTATTTTGTCAAGAATTATATCGATATTACGAAAAACACACTTATAATTTCATTTTTATTAAAACATCGATCAGCGATCGTGAAATAGTTGAAAGACTGATTTGCTGGAAGGTTCACACGGTCATGCTCAGTCAATACGAAATTGAGGATATTACTCACCCGTTCTAAAATTGATAACGATATCGAGAAAGAAGACGGTATCCGATATACAGTTGAACACGATCCAGTGAGTGCTCAAGTCGTCGTTGAAAAAGGAAATGGCTACCGGAAGTATGATGAGATTGGCAATGAGAAGAACTAACATAAATAGATCCCAATAAAATCTGAAACACACAAAACCATATCAGCATAAATAAATGCGAGTTAAATGCGTAAGTTACATAACTTAACGACAGCATTATGCGGTTGTAATGGTAGTTTGTCAACACACTGTAGTCTGAAAATATTTTGAACCCTGTTTTTACAAAATGTATCTGCCGCCAGGATATTATATAACAATATCGTTGTTAGGATTTAAAATGCAAGATTTCTTAAACAGATCTTGTTACTAATATTCTGTAAAAGTATGAACATTTTGTTCAATAGCGAAACCTACAAATTGTATATAAGTATTTTCAAGATGACGCTATTCCGCGAAAACCACAATAGTATGTTTCATATAGGATTTGAAATTTATGGTAGTGTTACAAGTTCTTTGAACCATGAGTGTAACCAGTACTTGGTACTTTTGAGTGTTTTGAGTGTTTTAAACTCAGATTAATCCAGTGCCTTGTACATTTGAGTTGTTAACCATTTTTGTACTTGGAACAATACAAGTAATTTATACCTGACGCTGAGTTTTACTAATAATTTTTACCTATTGCCTGGAGTGTTACTAATCATTTGTACCTGAAATGGAGTGTTACTAATAATTTGAACCGGTCCTGGTGTGTTACTAATAATTTGTACCTGTCGTAGAGTGTTACTACTGTAATAATTTGTACCTGTCTTGCAGTGTTATTAATAATTTGTACCTGTCTTGGAGTGTTACTACTGTTATAATTTGTACCTGTCGTGGAGTGTTACTACTGCAATAATTTGTACCTGTCGTGGAGGGTTACTACTGTAATAATTTGTACCTGTCGTAGAGTGTTACTACTGTAATAATTTGAACCTGTCCTTGTGTGTTATTAATAATTTGTACCTGTCGTGGAGTATTACTACTGTAATAATTTGTGCCTGTCGTGGAGTGTTACTACTGTTATGATTTGTACCTGTCGTTGAGTGTTACTACTGTAATAATTTGTATCTGTCGTGGAGTGTTACTACTGTTATAATTTGTACCTGTCGTGGAGTGTTACTACTGTAATAATTTGTGTCTGACGTGGAGTGATGTTCATTAATTGTACCTGTACTGGTGTGTTACCAATAATTTGTACCTGTCGTAGAGTGTTAAAACTGTAATTTTGTGCCTGTCGTGGAGTGTTACTACTGTAATAATTTGAACCTGTCCTTGTGTGTTTCTAATAATTTGTACCTGTCGTGGAGTGTAACTACTGTAATAGTTTGTACTTGTCGTAGTGTGTTACTAATAATTTGTACCTGTCGTGGAGTGTTACTACTGCAATAATTTGTGCCTGTCGTGGAGTGTTACTACTGTAATAATTTGTGTCTGACGTGGAGTGATGTTCATTAATTGTACCTGTACTGGTGTGTTACCAATAATTTGTACCTGTCGTAGAGTGTTAAAACTGTAATAATTTGAACCTGTCCTGGTGTGTTTCTAATAATTTGTACCTGTCGTGGAGTGTTACTACTGTAACAATTTTACCTGTCGTAGAGTGTTACTACTGTAATAATTTGAACCTGTCCTTGTGTGTTTCTAATAATTTGTACCTGTCGTGGAGTGTTACTACTGTAACAATTTTACCTGTCGTAGAGTGTTACTACTGTAATAATTTGAACCTGTCCTTGTGTGTTTCTAATAATTTGTACCTGTCGTGGAGTGTTACTACTGTAATAATTTTACCTGTCGCAGAGTGTTACTACTGTAATAATTTGAACCTGTCCTTGTGTGTTTCTAATAATTTGTACCTGTCGTGGAGTGTTACTACTGTAATAATTTGGGCCTGTCGTGGAGTGTTACTACTGTTATAATTTGTACCTGTCGGGGAGGGTTACTACTGTAATAATTTGTACCTGTCTTGCAGTGTTATTAATAATTTGTACCTGTCGTGGAGTGTTACTACTGTAATAATTTTACCTGTCGTAGAGTGTTACTACTGTAATAATTTGAACCTGTCCTTGTGCGATATTAATAATTTGTACCTGCCGTGGAGCGTTATTACTGTTATAATTTGTACCTGTCGTGGAGTGTTACAACTGTAATAATTTGTACCTGTCGTGGAGTGTAACTACTGTAATAGTTTGTACTTGTCGTAGTGTGTTACTAATAATTTGTACCTGTGGTGGAGTGTTACTACTGTAATAATTTTACCTGTCGTAGAGTGTTACTACTGTAATAATTTGAACCTGTCCTTGTGTGTTTCTAATAATTTGTACCTGTCGTGGAGTGTTACTACTGTAACAATTTTACCTGTCGTAGAGTGTTACTACTGTAATAATTTGAACCTGTCCTTGTGCGATATTAATAATTTGTACCTGCCGTGGAGCGTTATTACTGTTATAATTTGTACCTGTCGTGGAGTGTTACTACTGTAACAATTTTACCTGTCGTAGAGTGTTACTACTGTAATAATTTGAACCTGTCCTTGTGTGTTTCTAATAATTTGTACCTGTCGTGGAGTGTTACTACTGTAATAATTTGTACCTGTCTTGCAGTGTTATTAATAATTTGTCCCTGTCGTGGAGTGTTACTACTGTAATAATTTGTGTCTGACGTGGAGTGATGTTCATTAATTGTACCTGTACTGGGGTGTTACCAATAATTTGTACCTGTCGTAGAGTGTTAAAACTGTAATAATTTGAACCTGTCCTTGTGTGTTTCTAATAATTTGTACCTGTCGTGGAGTGTTACTACTGTAACAATTTTACCTGTCGTAGAGTGTTACTACTGTAATAATTTGAACCTGTCCTTGTGCGATATTAATAATTTGTACCTGCCGTGGAGCGTTATTACTGTTATAATTTGTACCTGTCGTGGAGTGTTACTAATAATTTGTACCTTTCTTGCAGTGTTACTAATAATTTGTACCTGTCGTGGAGTGTTACTACTGTAATAATTTGGGCCTGTCGTGGAGTGTTACTGCTGTTATAATTTGTACCTGTCGTGGAGTGTTACTACTGTAACAATTTTACCTGTCGTAGAGTGTTACTACTGTAATAATTTGAACCTGTCCTTGTGCGATATTAATAATTTGTACCTGCCGTGGAGCGTTATTACTGTTATAATTTGTACCTGTCGTGGAGTGTTACAACTGTAATAATTTGTACCTGTCGTGGAGTGTAACTACTGTAATAGTTTGTACTTGTCGTAGGGTGTTACTAATAATTTGTACCTGTCGTGGAGTGTTACTACTGTAATAATTTGTACCTGTCTTGCAGTGTTACTAATAATTTGTACCTGTCGTGGAGTGTTACTACTGTAACAATTTTACCTGTCGTAGAGTGTTACTACTGTAATAATTTGAACCTGTCCTTGTGCGATATTAATAATTTGTACCTGCCGTGGAGCGTTATTACTGTTATAATTTGTACCTGTCGTGGAGTGTTACTACTGTAACAATTTTACCTGTCGTAGAGTGTTACTACTGTAATAATTTGAACCTGTCCTTGTGTGTTATTAATAATTTGTACCTGTCGTGGAGTGTTATTACTGTTATAATTTGTACCTGTCGTGGAGTGTTACTAATCATTTGTTCCTGACGTGTAGTGTTACTTATAAATTGTACTTAACCCGGAGTGTTACTAATCATTTGTGCCTGACGTGGGGTGTTATCGGTACAGTATACTTGACCTGGGGTGTTACCAGTACTTTGTATTTGACAAGGAGTGAACCAGGTCTTTGAAATCTATTGATGTTGCTTTATTATTAAGCCCTATACGATGTTTATGCATTTCTAAGACGTCATGTCAGATAAACAAACCGATAATTTGATTAACAAGTATTAGAGACCGGATCTACGTCTTATCAGTGTTTGATACTGTTTTCCGGAATTAAATTAAATGAAACCATGTTCCTGTACCTTTAGAATATCTACATCACTTGATGTTATTATACGTTACGGTATATAATACCCCTTAAATGGATCGGAATGACAATTTATCATTCCTAAACCATTTGCCACTCCTCGATTGAAATTTCGATTAATGGATAATTCGGCTCTAGCGCTGGGATGCAATGACCTTCATATAGATCAGATAACAAAGCAGCACACTAGCGGTTAATCTACCCTTAGTACGAACTAAATTTAACATGAATACGGAAATACATTTATCAAAAAGTCATGATACAATTTTTAAATAGAAATTAAAAAATAAACGCCGAAAAAGGAAATGTCCGAAATAGACATCAATAAAAAAGGATATAATAACTGAACCAGGTGAAGCAAAGAAACGAGCTAATGAGTCTACGCATCAGGTGATTAAGAGGTAATTTAATGAGTCACGAAATGTTCGTCTTTGATGATGTTTCATGAACCGAAAAGCTTCTTGTCCGTGTTTATTTTTAAACAGAGGCTTCATGCTATATTAAAATATTTTATAGTTGTCAACCAACTATGACCTGATTTGCAACTGTCTCAGATTTTGGGTGGAAGATTATGACGTCCCTCGTTTTCAGATGCTGCTGCTTCAGTTACAGTTTTGATATTCTCGTTTTACATGTAAGTTTGAGTTTCAACTCTGTCCTCATGTTACAACGCTGTGTGATAGTTTACTCTCCTGCACTTCATGCAAATTGTCCATGTCACAAACGTTACAGATTGAAGTTTATAGTCAACGAGAGAGTCCTGTTTATTGTTTTTATTGATGCATTTAAGCAATAAACTACTTGGATGTGGGAGACCAACTGGCAGTTATACCAGTTGGTCTGCCCCATCTAGGCATTTTTTTGCTTACATTTATATTTCCGTAATGAGAATTAGCAAAAATTAATTTATGTCTTTTCCAAATGTCAAATTTCCCGCTTATTACCGTCAGGTCAGGTCAATATCTAGAACGAAACAAAGATAGGCACCAGATGACGTCACGCTCCGCAACTTTCGTTAATGATTAATTTGTTTTTAATTTATATATATATCATATTCTCAATTCATAAAATAGTAACAAAAAACATTTTGTAAGTAACTAATCAAGTGTTGTAAAACATTTTCCGATTTTATTG